TTCTGTTTATAGTAGAGACGGGGTCTCGCTCTTGCTCAGGCTGGTTTTGAACTCCTGACCTTGAGCAATCCGCCCGCCTCGGCCTCCCAAGAGCTAGGATTACAGGCGTGAGCCACAGCGCCCGGCCATTTCTTTCTATTTTTAATTGAGATGGTGGAAGGGGTCTTGCTCTTGCTCAGGCTGGTTTCGAGCTCCTGATCTTGAGCAATCTTCCCGCCTCGGCCTCCCAGAGTGCTAGGACAGGCATGAGCCACCTCGCCTGGCTGATTTTTGTCTTAAACTTTTGAAGACACTTTCTGCACGGGAAAGCTCTGCTCCCACTTTGGTTTTGCTTTGACATTCCCCATCTGTTCTCCCAGCAGCCATCCACACCCTCTTCCATCAGCTCTGCAGTCGAAGCAGTTCTCCTCGTAACCTTGACCTTGACTTTGCTGGAGCCGAGCTTCAGGACAGCTCAGAGCCGGTTCCGGTTCCGGGGGGAGGCGTGCAGAGTGTGGCCTGGAGGGTAGGAACTCCCACCCCGGGACCTCTGCATCCCCGCCGTGCCACCTCACCCTTTCAAAAATCACTGGCGTACATTTGAGAAAAGTTAAGCTGTTTTATTTCACAGAACAGCTCCACGTCAAACCAGCAGGCACCGTCGGAACACGCAACAGAGGCCGGTCAGACACTCCACGGCCGGGCGCTTGGCCGCAAGGTAGAAGCGGTGATCCGGGAGAGGGCGGCCGCGGCATCGCCAGGTGGGGACAGGCAACCAGCCATGTCCAGGGGTGGTTGGGGTTTTTTCCTCCTGTCACGAGGTGGGGAGGAAGGGGCACCAAAGGAAACGAGACAGACCAGCCCCTCTGAAGCGGTCAGAACCAACCTTCGGCCAAACCGCGAGAAAAGCCGTACACTGCCGGGAGCCGGGGCCTGAGCGGACGGTCGCGCCGGGACGGACTGCCGTCCAAGGGAGGAAAGTGCATTCTGGTCGTCCTGGTTCGAGGGACAGCTCCGTCATTTGCCTGGGACGGTTCGCCCAGACGGGAGGTGCCAGCGAGGGGGGCATCGACGGCCAAGTGGCCCGTCCCGAGGCCGGCCAGCGGGACCTGGCAGACCGGCCTCAGGGCGGCCGGGGGACCGAGACGCGGCAGCGAGAAGCCCCTTCTCTCGGCTCCCCTGGGCGGCTTTGGGAGAGTGGGGAATTCTCCGCGTTGGAGACCCCAGAGAACCAGGGGAGCGGCCACCGTCAGCTCTGCACAGCAGAAATCCGAGAGCCGCCCCCGCGCCCGCCCCACCTCCCGGCCCGCGGGCCCAGCGGGCTGTGAGCCGGCCTCTCCTGCCCGCGCCTTTCCGGAGAATGCGGCCTGCGCTCTGCCATGGAACCGTCTGGAAGTGTGGCAGGCGAGGATCAGAAAGACCGGAGGGAGACCCCTCGCACGCGTCCTTGTGGATGGATTTCTGCTCGAGGTGTGACCCGCACGACAGGCCCCACGCAGTGCCACGTTCAAGCCTCCCACACGAGAGAGAATCCACCGACAGGGCACTCCACGGGGCTGGGGCGGGGAGGCAGCCCCACGCCCAGGCCCTTTCCCGTTGTGGCCACCAGCCGGGTTGGAGAGTGTGCGAGGCGGTCTCCGAACCGCCGGCCCCAGCTTCCCGGCGTCTCTTCCCACTCCGCTCTCTTCCCCAGACCGCCACCTTTCCTCCCTTGGGAACCCATCTCTCTGCCCCGAGCCCTGGCCCTGCGACATCCGAGCAAAGGACCCGAGCCCTGTCCCCAAGGCCCACCGTCCGTGCGCCGGGCGCCCCGTCCAGGCTTCAAGAAGGCGCTCGGAGGCGAGAGGGTGTCGGCACTGGACACGAGCAGGGCAGGGCTGTCCGCGGAGTCCCTCAGCCGGAGGCCGTTTAGGGGGAAGGGCGTGAGGCGGGCGGGCGGGGCGCCGTGGGCACCGGGCAGGAAGCTCGGCTCCTTCTCAGTTTCATCCGAGAAAGGTCTCCAGCGAAGCTAGACCAGGAATTTAATCGTCTTTGGTCAGTTTTCAACTAACAGCTTGCTGGTTCATTCCCAAAACAGACTGAGCGTCGGTTACACGGAAGGACAAAAGGCTCGACCTCAAGGTGAGTCGAAGGTTAAGGAAAGAAATCGGTCCGCAAAAGCAAAAAAAAAAGAGAAAATGCCCGTTATCAACTAACCGATCAGTACAGCTTTCCACGATGATGGATGGACAAGAAGGTAAACACCACTCTCCCTTGCCCAAATCGGTTATGTTGAGGACTGCTACCGAGGTCACGCCGTTGCCCGGCACTCGCGGCAGTTAGGGCTCGGGGATTTTGTTTGTGCGTCCATCTAGCTACGAGGTGCGCAGATCTGGTGAGGGGTCTGGGCTAGCGTTGAATTGTAGCCTTTTGAAACAATCAGTTTCACATTTGAACAGTCACCCTCCAGCACTTAAGCACACACAGCAATGCAGAGTGGCCTGGCCGGGCAGGGGCAGGCGGAGAGCGTCCGGGTGTTCCGCGATCGTGGTGGCAGGGTCGCTGAGACATGCTTGGAGCCAGAGGAGAAGGCGGGGCGGAGGCGTGGAAAAGGGCTTTCCCACCCGGTTCCGGGGTGTCGAGCCTCAGAGTCGGGGCTATGGGGTGAGCGGGACACGCCTGCTACCTGCGTGTGCGCCCCTAAAATGCGCACCGCCGGCCGTTTCCCCAGGGGAGAAACAGTCGGGCAAAGACAACAGCTGAGCCTCTGCCTTCCGGGGGAATTCAGCGGAAGGCAAGGGAAAAAAAGAAAACGGAATCGGTCAGTTCGGAGAAAACCCCCGCGGTCTGCCCGGCGCCGCGTGTGTGCCAGGCGGGAGATGCGCCCGCCCGTCTTGCCCCGCGTCTGCCGGCGGCGCGAGGGCGCGGCGTTCTGCCTGGAGTGTGCCGGGCGTAAGTGCCCTCTGGGAACGGCCCTGGGGCAGAAATGAGGAGTCGAAGGGTGGCCGCACAGCGTCAGCGTGCTCGCACACACGTGACCGCGCCGGCCGGGCAGCCCCCCTCCCAGCCGGCCAGTCACAGCACAGCCCAGGGCCTTACTCTCCCGAGCTGTGAAATGGGGATGTCTTTTATGTACTCAAGGTCAGAGGCGCCTGTCACTTCCAGGCACCTAAAGAAGACAAGGGATGGCTCTAAGCAAAGCAAGCGAGGTCAAGCCTGTCCCTGGCTTCTCCCTGACATCCTCTGTTTGTGCCCTTTCTTTTTTTTTTTTTTTTTTTTTTTTTTTTTTTGAGACAGAGTCTCACTCTGTCACCTGGGCTAGAGTGCCGTGGCGTCAGCCTAGCTCACAGCAACCTCCAACTCCGGGCTCAAGCCATCCTCCTGCCTCAGCCTCCTGAGTAGCTGGGACTACAGGCATGCGCCACCATGCCCGGCTCATTTTTTTTTCCTATATCTTCTTAGCTGTCCAACTAATTTCTATCTATTTTCAGTAGAGACGGGGTCTCGCTCTTGCTCAGGCTGGTCTCGAACGCCTGACCACGAGTGATCCTCCTGCCTCGGCCTCCCAGAGTGCTGGGATGACAGGTGTGAGCCACCGCGCCCGGCCTCCTTTTTTTTTTTTTTTTTTTTTTTTTGAGACAGAGTCTCACTTTGTTGCCCAGGCTAGAGTGAGTGCTGTGTCGTCAGCCTCCCTCACAGCAACCTCAAACTCTTGGGCTCAAGCGATCCTCCTGTCGTACCCTCCGGAGTAGCTGGGACTACAGGCATGCGCCACCATGCCCGGCTAATTTTTTCTATATATATTAGTTGGCCAATTAATTTCTATTTATAGTAGAGACGGGGTCTCGCTCTTGCTCAGGCTGGTTTCGAACTCCTGACCTCGAGCGATCCTCCCGCCTCGGCCTCCCAGAGTGCTGACAGGCGTGAGCCACCGTGCCCGGCCCCGGCCTCCTTTTTGTGCCCTGTCCTGATTCTTCCTCCCACTGCGTCGTCTCTGGTCCAGCCTTTCAGACGAGGCAGGATGGCTTTCCACGTGCACACCCAGGGGTCAGTGGCTTACTAGGCCCCTCCCTCTGGGTGTATTTACCTTTGTGTGGAGGACCAGAGGAGAGGCCAAAACTCAATCCAGTGGGTTGAAATGCTGACGGTGGCCGTTCAGGGCTCCTAGGAAGCTGGTGGGAAAATCCCACTGCCCTCCCCTCCAATGCCATCAGGAGGTTCCAGAAAGGCCCGGGTGGCGTCTGATGGAAAAGGCTGACTATACTAACGACAACGGCAAGAGCCAGCGGGTCGGCCCGAGCCTCCGAGCGGCACGGCCCGCTCCCTTCCGCTCCTCCTCCACCGCCCGCTGCTCAGAGCGGGAGCTGAGGCTGGGGGCGGAGCGGCCTGCCCGGAGTCCCCGGGGCCCTACCTGGCCAGGCTGGGACTCCAGCGCAGCGTTTCGGGCTCCAAACCTCACCGCCCCGAGAGGGAGGGACAGAGATGAAACTTGGGGACAACAGGGAGGGGCCCCGGGCCTGGCAGGAGGTGGGGTGGCAAAACCAGAAAGTCACCCCCATTTTTAGGGTCAGATTCACCTGCTGCGGGCGTGCTGCCACCCGCAAGCAGCCTGTCTCTGGAAAGCAAAGGGATCGAGGGAGGCGGCGGGCGGCCCCAGACGAGTGGCCCAGAGCGAGGCCTTTCCCAGCCAGGAGGCAAAGCCGGCTGCTCACGCGTGAAGACCGTGCACCCCGGGTGTCTGTCACCTGTCACCGTTGCTCATCTACTTTCAATGCTCTGCAGGGAGTGGGGGACGGGAGGGAGGGAGGGGAGCCGTCTCAGTTGTAAGGACCGGACCCTCAGTGTCCTCCAGGACAGGCGCTCCTGGGGTAAGACCCCTCAGCCCCGGGCACCCTGGGCGCCTGCGACTCGTGCCAGGCAGCGCCTGGCGCTCCGGGACACGACGTGACTAGAAGCCTCCTCGCCTGTTCAGCTCCAAATTCGACACAAGAGAATTAGGAGAACGAGGAAGAAAGAAATATTTAAATATGCTGAAAACGATGTAAGTTAAACCTCTATAGTTACCACGGATTTATTCCTACAGCATTTCTAGGTCTCGAAGCATTCCACACCACTGCATTTCTTTTTTTTTTTCCCAGCCACATGTCACACCGTGCTGCCACGGGGCGCAGGGTCGCCGCCCGGTTTCTGCTCGTGGGCGCGGACGCGGTGGTGCGGGTCTTCTCCGGCCACCCTCCTCCCGTGCCCTCGGGGTCTGGCTGGCCTTTGGCCTCGGGTGGAAGGGCAGGGCGTCTGGGCCGGCTCGGGGAGGGGGAGGCGCCGCCTGCCCCACCCTTCCCGCAGGGGGAGACTGTTCTGGAAGGCCACTGCTTCTGGGGGAGACGGCGGAGGCTGTTCTCTGCGTTTCTCGGGTCGTATATTCTCGAGTGGTATATTGCTTCGTGCGCACCGCCACGGCCTCTGGGTGCTCCCAGAAAGAGTCCCTGCGCCCGCCAGCTGCTCGCGAGGGCGTCTTGGTGGCGAGGGCGTCTTGGTGGCGTGGGTGTGAGGTAAATCTACGTTTCATAGAAAGAAAGAGGAGATCCTATTTACATTTCTGCATGTGTGTGTCCGGACCTAGCATGTGTGTGGAGAGATGCATAAATATATATACACACGCACACACGCCTACAGACGCGCGCGCACGTAGTAGGTCTGCAGAGACGGCGTCGAGGGAGGGGCTCGGCTCGCGAGGAGGGCTCTGCCGGATGGGAGGGGCTCCGCGGGCGGGGCTGCTCCGGCTGTGCGCCTCGCTCTCGGGGTGTCTGCGCGCCGGGGGTCTGCGGGTCCCCGCGGCTGGACGTGGCTGCAGCCTGCACCCGGGGCCCCCCAGCTCCGCAGGGACCCCGGCTCTCCCCTGGGGGCTCAGGTCCTCTCGCCCCACGAGGCCGGGGTCTCCGGGGGAGCCGCCCGGGGCGGGTCACATGGTGCCCGACTTGTCCGCGGGGCCGCCGCCGCCGCCGGGGAAGCCCTTCTCGGTGGGCGTCACGGCCGGGCTGCCCACGCCCGAGCTGCTGCTGCTGCTGGAGCGGTGCTGCGCGGCGGGGCGCGCGGGGCGCACGCAGGGCGGCGGGCGCAGCTGCGCCCCGGCCAGGCGCGCCGACAGCGCGGGCTTGAAGGTGGTCATCATCTCGGCCGACGAGCTGCTGCTGCGGCGCATGGCCGCGTCGGGGTCGCGGATGGCGATGGTGTGCAGCGGGCTGGCGGGCTCCGAGCTGGCGGGCCCCGGCGGGTGCTTGAGCGGCTCCAGCGTGTCCAGCACCACGTCGGGCGCCTGCTTGGCCGCGTTCTGCCGCTCCAGCTCGCGCAGCTCGTGCAGCGCCGTGCTCATGGTCTTCTCGATGTCCTGCGGGCACAGAGTGCGCGTTAGCGGCCGGAGGCCCAGGGTGGAGGCCCGGGGTGGAGGCTGGGCCTTCCTGTCTGCAGACTAGCTTGCAGGGTGGGTCCTCTCAGGGAGGTCCCCCCTCTCCCCCCGCCCCAGAACCTCATGGGATGGAGATGAAGTACCTCCAAGGTGTCCAATAACCACATGAGAGAACGGATGTGGGCAACCCCCTGCAGTCCGCCCTGCACGGGAAACAGACTTCACCAGGGCAGGCGCTGCAGTCAGACAGACACTGGTTCGAATCCTGGCTCTGCCATTCCCTTGCTGTGTGACCTTAGGCAAGTTACCTCACCTCTCTGAGCCTCTAGAATCCTCACTTTTTTTTTTTTTTTAATTGAGAAAGAGTCTCACTTTGTTGCCCGGGCTAGAGTGAGTGCCGTGGCGTCAGCCTCGCTCACAGCAACCTCAGACTCCTGGGTTCAAGCAATCCTCCTGCCTCAGCCTCCTGAGTAGCTGGGACTACAGGCATGCGCTACCATGCCCAGCTCATTTTTTCTATATATATTTTTAGTTGTCCAGCCAATATCTTTCTATTTATAGTAGAGACGGGGTCTCACTCTTGCTCAGGCTGGTCTCAAACTCCTGACCTCCAGCAATCCTCCTGCCTTGGCCTCCCAGAGTGCTGGGATGACTGGCGTGAGCCACCACGCCTGGCCTCAGAATCCTCATTTTTAAATTACAGGTGATGATTATAATGTGGGTTTCTGAGGGGTCGATGCTTGTGCTCAATAAGATGGTCCCTGTGAAGAGCCTGATGTGTTACCTGACACAGAACAAGCGCTCAGAAATCGGCCAGTGGCTCACGCCTGTCATCCTAGCACTCTGGGAGGCCGAGGAGGGCAGATTGCTCGAGGTCAGGAGTTCAAAACCAGCCTGAGCAAGAGCGAGCCCCCATCTCTACTATAAATAGAAAGAAATTAATTGGCCAAATAATATATATAGAAAAAATTATCTGGGCATGGTGGCACATGCCTGTAGTCCCAGCTACTTGGGAGGCTGAGGCAGGAGGATCGCTTGAGCCCAGGAGTTGGAGGCTGCTGTGAGCGAGGCTGACGCCACGGCACTCACTCTAGCCTGGGCAACAAAGTGAGACCCTGTCTCAAAAAAAAAAAAAGAAAAGAAAAAAGAAATAATGACAGTGACAACAGCAATCGGAGCTCACACCGAACACCAACCCAAACCCTTCCCTCTAATAAATTCACTTAACACTCACACTTACGAGGCGGGATCCACCACTCACCTCACACAGGAGGAAACTGAAGCTCAGACTGGTTAAGAAATTTGCCCGAAGCCACACAGTGAATCAGCAGCATGACCCAAGTCTGAACCCAGAGGCGGTTCCATATTATTATTATTAAAAAAAAAAAAAAATTTGTCCACAGAAAAATTTACTTGGAAGTTATATACCTGAACGGTTCACAATGTCTATCCCAGAAGAGTGAGACGGCTACTCTCTTCTCTGTGTTATCATTTAAAAAAAATTTTTTTTTAATGGAAATTTTTAAAAAGAAAAAAATCCTAGTCTGCCTATGTAATTTCCAAGGTCGTCATGATATCTGAGAGCTCACTGGCAGGAGAGCTGCGAAGGGCCCAGAGGGAGAGAGACACGACGCCCCAGGCCTGCCTGGCCTCGCCAGGCCGCCGGGCGGCTTTCCAAGCTCCTGTCCCCTCAAGCTGGAGCGCGGCACTGCAGCTTCTAGCTCAGGAGGCCTCGGGCAGGGCCCCGGCCCCCCGCTTTTGAGTGAAAAGACTCCCCGGCCACTCCCTGGCCCTGCGAACCCCGGGCAGCCGCTCTGCACCCCACTTTGCTCGTCTGCTGAAAGCCCGCCCTTTGCTGGCTGTGAAGATGGATGGCGGCCATGGACGTGACAGAGCTCTGTAAGCTGCCAGACGGCAGCTTCCAGACCCTCCAGCCCGGGAGTCCTTGGTCCCCACGACTGTCTACAGGGACCCCTCCACCAACAGACGCCAAGAGGACCTGCCCAGGCCACAGCCCGGCTGGCCTGGCCACCAAGGGCACAGGGAGGGGACAAGGTTTAAAATCACCGCCGGCAGGTGCTGGGCACAGCCTCGCCTTGGGGTTGACAACACCCAAGCTGGGCTTGGCCTTTCCTCCCATCCCTGTCCTCCCCAACTCCCACGCTCTCCTTCCCTGTCTACAGGGGCCTCAGCCGGCCTTGGGCCCCATGGCAGGCTCCGATCTGGCCAGGGTCAGGGTGCCAGTCTCTTGCTGTCTGCCGCCCCAGCCTGACCCTTTTTGCTTTCTTAAGGGACTATCCATGTCCCACTCACGGCTCACAGGACAATTTGCTCCTTGCCCCAGGTTGCTAGAAACTTTAAGAGTGGGCCTTTAGTGCTCTGTCCAGAAGGATTTGTCATCAGGGGGCGGGGCTTCTCTGCAGGAAGGGGGAGGTGGCAGTCCTCTCCCGGCCGTGCCATGCCTCAGCCCCGTGGTGACTCGGCCTGCTTTCCGAGAGCTGCCCTGCCGTCACCCACCCTGCTTGCCCTCGGTCTCGTTGACCTCACGACCCTCTCTCTCTGTTTGCAGTTCAACCTGAGCCGCCAGGGGTTAACTTGAGCCAATAAAACATGATCCCCACCCCTCCCCTGTCACCCCCAACCCGACCACCAGCCACCCCACCCTGAGCAGAGCAGGAGCGGGAAGACAGAGAGCTCAGAGGAAGAGCAGTCGGCGGGCTTGGTTAGGCTGCAGCCTGGCGTTTGACTCAGGGGTGAGGCTGGGGTCTCCGGGCAGGGCTGCCGAGAGCTGCAGGGGTGGCATGGGGAGGGCCACCGCCCCTCGCCTCCTGCCTGAGTACATCTTCCCCTCAGATGGTCCTGTCGCAAGTTCCCCAAACAGCCTCTTTAACTGGGCTCAGATCTAAATCCTGAGACATTCTGGGAACACAGAATTCTGGATAACTGGGTTCAAGTCTAAATCCTGAGACATTCTGAGAACACAGAAATTTGGGGAACTGGGGTAAAATCTAAATCCTAAGACATTCTGGGAACACAGAATTGTGGGTAACTGGGTTCAAGTCTAAATCCTGAGACATTCTGGGAACACAGAAATTTGGGGAACTGGGGTCAAATCTAAATCCTAAGACATTCTGGGAACACAGAATTCTGGGTAACTGGGTTCAAATCTAAATCCTGAGACATTCTGAGAACACAGAAATTTGGGTAACTGGGTTCAAATCTAAATCCTAAGACATTCTGAAACACAGAATTCTGGGTAACTGGGGTCAAATCTAAATCCTAAGACATTCTGAGAACACAGAATTCTGGGTAACTGGGGTCAAATCTAAATCCTAAGACATTCTGAGAACACAAGAATTCTGGGTACACTGCGGGGTCAAATCTAAATCCTCAAGACATTCTGGGAACACGGAATTTTGGGTAACTGGCGTTGCCAGATCCTAAAATCCTGAGACATTCGAGACACAGAATTCTGGGTAAGCGGGTCAAATCCAATCCTAAGAATTTTAGAACACAGAAATTTGGGTAACTCTACGTACGACGTTTGCCCAAAAATAAGACCTCCCCATAAAACAAGCCCCAGCAGGATGTCTGACCACGTGCGCAACAGAAGCCCCACCCCGAAAATCAGCCCTAGTGCGGGGGCGTGCTGCGGCAGCGTCTGCACAACCCCGTGCGTGTCGTCGCGGAGCGGGAAGAACACGAGCAGCCCTTCTCATCCGCCCCGTGACAGCTCTAGTGCTCGGCAGGAGAGATCGGCGGCGGTGGCTCTAAAGGACACGGCAGAGTCACAACGACATTCAGGATGGACTCGGGTTTGGAGAGTGAGGATGATGTTCCAGAAGAAGACGACTTCACTCTATTTGAATCAATGTAGATGGTTGTGCTGTACTTAAAAAAAATGACACATGCCCTGAGAATAAGCCCTGGGGTGTCTTCTTGAGGAAAAGTTAATATGAGACCCTGTCTTTATTTTCCGGGAGACGATGGCCACTGGGGTGTTCGCCCCAGGCCCACCACGCTTCGTGGCCTGCAAACACAAGGGCTCGTCAGAGCGCAAGTGAACTGGAGGCGCGGGCTGGCCACGAGGGCCTCTGCGCTATGCATCGCTTCCATCCCCCGACCTTCGCTCTCCGTGGGCTCTTGAGGGTGGCTTCCCGACCAGACAGGGTGTGGGTCCCTCCGCCTGCTGAGGCATTCTTTGGGCTGGTCCTGCAGCATGCTCCGTGCATGAAGGTCAAAGCAGTCGGGAGATGGGGCGTCCCCTACTCTCTTTCTTGGAGGTGCGCAATGCACATCCGCACCTTCGAGGGTTCTAAGAAGTCTCATGGATGAGCCATCCGACTTTGTCGGAGCGGCGTCTCCAAGCTTTGTGGGCCGCAGAGCTCTGATCCCCCACCTACCTCCTCAGGGCCCACGGAACCTGTCTGTCCTGCAGCCTTCTTTCAGAAACAAATGGCGCTCTTGGACCACACGCGAGTCTTTCTTTTTTGAGACAGAGTCTCACTTTGTTGCCCAGGCTAGAGTGAGTGCCGTGGCGTCAGCCTCGCTCACACTGCCCCCCGCCCTACGGTCCTCGTCCACCGCCGCCGCGCGCTCACACGCACTGATTCCCTGCCCCCCGCACGGACACGCCCACGCCACCACCCCCACGCGCAACCTCCAACTGCCTGGGCTACAAGCAATCGCTGCTGCGCTCAGCGCTCCCCAACGTAGCTGGGACCTACAGCGGCCAGTGCTGCCACCACACCGCCAAGCCTAATTTTTTCCCCTATATACCCGTACTTTTAGCGTTCTGGACCCCAATTAATCTTTCTTATTGTTTACGCGTTACAGAGACGTCTCACGGCTCTTTGCTCCCAGGCCTGGATTTTTCGCGAACTCCTGACCTCGAGCGATCCTCCCGCCTTGGCCTCCCAGAGTGCCAGGATGACAGGCGTGAGCCGCCGCACCGGCCTGCACTTGAGTCTTTATGTAACGGGCTCTGGGCCAGGCCTCAGGCAGCCAGCCCAGCCCCCATCACGACTGGCAGAACTTTCCAAAGTGGTTAAGTTTCCGGATGGTGGCAGCTGCTACGGCGATGTTCCCGCAAAGACAGAGGGACCAGGGGGTGGCCTGCTTCCTCTGCTCGACCCGTGCCGAGGCACTGGTCTTCGGGGACGTCCTCGGGGTGCCCATCGGGACTTGGGGCCAAGCTAGACCCTGCAGGCGCGAACAGGAGTTCCAGCTGGCAGGTGAGCTGTTTCTGGGTTGGGTGCTCCTTCGGAAGCCCCCTGGCCTCCTCTGGACCAGTCTCCACCTCTCCCCTGCCCTGCCGAACAGGGGCCAAATGCCGCTCCCCACGCTAGACCTCTCGCGGCCACGGAACCCTCTCGGCTGTGTCTCTTACCTTAAGTGGCAGACGGCACCGGGCAGAGCTCGCATCATGCGCACCCCACACCCAGTTCCAGAGAGGAAAGAAGGGAAACTTTTGGAAATACAACAGAACTGTCAGAAACGCATGATGTATCAGCTACATAAAATCGCTGAACCAATCCTGGTTCTGTTCTGTTTGGCGAGTGCAAAAACCAAACAAATTTCTCATCCAAATACAAAGAGATAAATTAAAAACAAACAACAGGCCGGCCGCGGTGGCTCACGCCTGTCATCCTAGCACTCTGGGAGGCCGAGGCGGGAGGATTGCTGGAGGTCAGGAGTTCAAGACCAGCCTGAGCAAGAGCGAGACCCCATCTCACCTAAAAATAGAAATTAATTGGCCAACTAAAAATATATAGAAAAAATTAGCCGAGCATGGTGGCGCATGCCTATAGTCCCAGCTACTTGGGAGGCTGAGGCAGGAGGATTGCTTGAGTTTGAGGTTGCTGTGAGCGAGGCTGACGCCACAGCACTCACTCTAGCCTGGGCAACAAAGCGAGACTCTGTCTCGAAAAAACAACAACAACAATGACAACAACAAAAACATCTCTAAGCACTGTGGAAGATTCTAGAACATTCTTCCCTTCCAGCTTCAGCTATTTTGTTCTTCCTACCCTTTGGGTCTGGAGGGCTCTGGGCCACTCCTTAAAGGCCCCCGGCCCCAGAGCCGTGTCACGGCTGTGTTTATCAGCTGACATCTCTCTCTCTTCTCAAAGGCCTGCTCCGTGAGTGCCTGGGGTCTGAGCCCGTTTTACGTCTTCTCTACTTGCAGTGCCCGGCACGGTGACTGCCACACGGCACGTGCTAAGCCAGTATTTGCCCATGGATGGATGAATGATGAATGAATGAATGAATGAACGAGTGGATGAATGAATGAATGAACGGATAACTCGGTCAGGCCGTCTGGTGGAGAGACCTGCCCCTACCCCGTGCCCACGATCTGGCCCATCCCCTTCTCTCCGCTCCTGGACACCGAGGGTGCTCGGACTTTGCAGAAACCCCGGCCGGTGGCCTCACCCAACCGGCCTCCACTCCCACGGGGAGGCCCAGGGGGGAGGACGCCAGCTCCCTCTCGGGTCTCGGGGCTCAGCCTGAGCCTGGCACAGGGCTGGCCCAGGGGGGGTCCCCGTTCCCAAGCTTCCCACCCCGCCGCCCCTTGGGGGTCCCGGCTGACCCGGCCTGCCCTTACTTCTGCCAGGGCCTCGGCCTCCAGGGACTTGTGGTCCCCCAGGCTGCTGTGCCTGGTGGAGCCTCCGGGCCTCAGCGGGTGGCCCTCGGAGAGCGCCTTCCTGTCGGGGTAGTTGATGCTGCCGGCGCTCCCGAACGTCGCCATCCTCCGCTTCTCGGGGCTCTCGATCCTGCCCCGGGCGAGGGGCGCCTTGTGGGGGCTGCTGGGGCAGGCGGCGGCCCGCGGCGGCGCGTCCATGCCGGGGCCCAGGCCCCCCCGGGGCGGGCTGTGCGTGTCGCCCCCGCTCCGGCGCCGGGGGATGGCCGCTCCGTCCGACCGCAGCCGCACTCTGCAAAGGGGCCGGGCGGGAGGGGAGGGCGGGGGCAGAGGTCAACCCTGGCCAGTCCGAGAACCTCGGGTCTGCCAGCCACCCCACGCCACACGCCACACGCCAGTCCCACAAGCCTGGCCCGTAGCCGGGCGACAGAGGCGAGGCGCCTCGCTGGCGCCCCTGGCTGAACGGCCGCCTGCCTGGCAAGGCCAGGCCAGCAGGTCCCGCCGGACACGCTGTGGCGAGGGCCTGCACCCGGGCCCTCAGACTTCCTAGGCGGGGCCCTCACCGTCCCTCACACCGCTGGAGCGCCGGCTGCAGTTTTTTAAAAAAAAACTATGAACAGATTGCTGTGCACACTGCGCACTGTCTTATTTTGCAGTAAAAAACAAACAGGCAGAAACACCCTCGCGTGGCCTGCAGGCCGCAGTTTGAGGACGCCTGGGACTCTGGCCCTTGGCACAACCTGAGCCCTTCAGACACCTCCAGGGACAGGCTTCTGACGGGTCCGAAGCCTGAGGCTGGACTGCACCCGAGTCACCGGCGCCCACAAGCAGAAGAGGGGCCGGGGACCCAACCCGGGCTGATGTTCCGCCCATCCCCCATCTCTCCAGAAAAGGGCGGGCTTGCCTGCCTTTCTTTCTTTCTTTCTTTTCTTTTCTTTTTTTTTTTTTTTTTTAAGATAGAGATTCACTTGCCCAGGCTAGAGTGAGTGCCGTGGCGTCAGCCTCGCTCACAGCAACCTCCAACTCCTGGGCTCAAGCGATCCTCCTGCCTCAGCCTCCCGAGTAGCTGGGACTGCAGGCATGCGCCACCATGCCCGGCTCATTTTTTCTATATATATTTTAGTTAGTCAATTAATTTCTTTCTACTTTTAGTAGAGACAGGGTTTCGCTCTTGCTCAGGCTGGTCTCCAACTCCTGACCTTGAGCGACTCTCCCGCCTCGGCCTCCCAGAGTTGCTAGGACTGCAGGCGTGAGCCGCCTCGCCCGGCCAAAAAGGGCTATTTCTGTGAGGCATTTTCAGATACTGGAAAGCCAGCTGTTCACGAGTTCAAACACTGCGTCCCTGAATACAGCCCTGTCCCCAGTCGGGTGGAGTGAAAGAGGGGCGTGAGCGAGTACCAGGAGGGTGCGCCCTTGCCCTGGGTCTGGCACGTGTTTTCCTGCGTCCTCTTTCAAGTCCACCTTATCCGTCTGATAAATGGGCGCAATGTTCCCTGCCCGCCTTCAAGTGAGTCTGAAAGCAGGTTGATGGGCAAAGGTTCTGCACGGAGGTCTGGCCGCACCCTACGGAGGTCGCCAAAGGGTCTGAGGACCTAGTGGGGGGGGACGGCTGGAAGTGGCCAGGAGGGAGGGGGAGGGGGTGTGTTTGGGAACAGACTGTGACCAGGGACCGAGTCCAGTGTGGTCAGACCCTGGTGCCACCAGCCAAGCTAAGCAGCGCCCGTGAGCACCTCAACAGGACCAAGGCACGCTGCCGGGGAGGAAGAAGCACCCAGAAAGCAAGAGCAGGATGAAGGGAGACAAGGAGTGAAAGGGAAGAAGGGAGGCAGAGGACAGGGGTCCTCCTAGAAGCCAGGGCACCGTGGCGTTCTCATCTACCCACCCGGCCTTCCGCCTGCCCCTGTGCTACCACCTGCCACCGCACCCTGAGCTATCTGCTGAATCCAACAGAATTTGCTTTAAAAAAAACAAAGAAAGAAAAGAGGCTGAATCAGGACATCTGCTGAAATAAAAACTCATATAAAAGTGTTTTCCTGTTTTGTGACTCATTTTTTTTTTTTTGGCTCTATCTGCAAATACCCACACATGTGGGCTTGTCACATGACCCTTTCCACTTTGGGGGAGGAGAAAAAAACCATAGACTATGACATTTTGAGAGTCTGATTTGAAAAAGCAGTGAGAAACTACCAGCTTTGCTTTTGCTTTTCTACTCTTCATTACTTCATTTATATATATATATATATGTATATATATATTGCCAGCCACGTGCTCTGGAGCACACCTGTTCTCAAAGATCCATGTGGGTGGCGCCTTGCCTGGGGGGCGGGGGTCACGTGACACAGCCCGGCGCCCACGTGGGGGTAAAGAGACCTGCCGGATCTTGCTCCCACCAAGCACACGGGTGGAATATCGAGTGTCGACTTCCCCCGGCACGGGGGTAGGTGTGGGGTGGCATCTCCGTGGTGCATTTTGGGGGAGCATGTGCACTTTATGAATGTTTAAATATGACAGCTTGGGTCCCCAGCAGAGAGCAGAGAGGAGGTGCGGGAGCTGGAGAGCAGGAAAAGTCCCCGCCGATTATTACTGTTCTAGATAAAAAGCACTGAGCTCCCAACGATGATGGATGTCTCTCCTCCTCCTCTTCCTCCTTCCCCCGCCCCTCCTCCTCCTCTTCTCTCCCCCCCCACCCCCCACCCCCCCACCCCCACTCCAGGCCAGACCGCCTCATGCCTGGCATTCTTGGACCAGGCGGCACACGCCTTGGGGACCAGCAGCTGCAGGGGCCACCCGGCCTCTGCCCTCCCCCCAGCCCCCCTTCCCGTCCATACACGAGCAGGCACGCCCCGGCAGGAGAAAAACGAATGTGTGTCTCCTACCGGCCCATCACCCCCCCAAAGCCGCAGTCCACGAGGTGCTGCTCCGTCGGGGACTGGAGGTCGTTCTTGGAGGACGCCTTGTCGTCCAGCAGCGGCCCGCTGCTGGCCTCGCTGTCGGCCTTCTGGCTGAGGCTGTCGGAGAAGGCGTCATCCCTGGGGGGAGACGGGCGTGGATGACGGGTGCCGCCCGCGGGGGTGGGAGGGACACGGCTCCTCGACACCTGTCCGAGGGGCTGAGTTGGCACCCTGTGACAGCCGGCGTGTGCCCACTCAGCGCTCCGTGGCAACGCTCCTGGAGCCGGTCCCTACCGCAGGAGACCCGTCCGCCCGGCCCCACACCGGCCAGGCCCTCCCGGCTGCTCCAGGCAGGACAAGGTGAAAGCCGGAGGTTCGTCGGAGGAAGGACAAAGAACAGGTGGCGCGGCAGGTGCGGCTCCACGAGGAACGCTTGGGGGCTAAGCAGGGAGGGAAGACGGGGCCTCCACCCCTGGCCTCCCCTCCCCACCCAGGGCCGGGGACAATCGTGAGGTGGCTTGCAAGCCTGCTGGGTCGCCCTGCCAGCCTCCTTCCACGACCCTCTCCCTCTGGGACTTCCTCCTGCCCTCAGGGGCCTGGGACAGCGGGAGGCTCCGACACAATGTGGAAGCTGTCAGCCTCCTTCCCAGGAGGTCACGCTTGGAGGCTGCCTCTCCATTCGGTCAGTCCTGCTGAGCCCACCCAAAGCTCACGGGGACGTCTGAGCAGGGACCCCACATGGCTCGCAGAGGCGTGGGAAGTGCAGACTTTCCGTGGTAGGCCCAGGGCACTCAGGATGCAGGGCTCTCTTTTTTTATTATTTATTATTATATTTTTCATAAATAAATAGCAGCCTGTCAACTGGAAGTGAGGGCACGGCTGTGTCCGCCGATCCCCCCGAGAGGGCCCCCCACTCTGACATGTGGGACAGGGAGCACTGAGGAGCTGGAGGCTCAGGGCCAGACCCACGACACGGGGAGCCAGGGCAGGAGACGGAGGCTGGGCTGGGAGGCTGGGCCGGCGGCCGCAGACACTGACCATGTATCCTGGGGAGCACGGAGGAGCAGTTTGCATGCTGGCCAGGTGCATCACCAGGTGCATGGCCAGGTGTATTGCCAGGTGCATGGCCAGGTACACTGCCAGGTGCATGGCCAGGTGCATCACCAGGTGCATGGCCAGGTGCACTGCCATTTGGGGGGAAGTTAGATCTGACCGTTCTTGCAGAGGACAAGAGTGTGGGGTCAGAGAGAGCTCGTCCCTGGCACACAGCCCAGCACCCGCTTCCAGGGCCCATTCCAGACATCACTAATCTACCCTGGCATCCTTCTCCTGACTGTCACCCCTTTCCAGGGCCTGTTCCAGACATCACTAATCTATCACAGAATCCTCCAAACTGTCACCCCCTTCCAGGGCCCGTCCCAGACATCACTAATCTATCGTGGCATCCTCCCAACTGTCACTCCCTTCCAGGGCCTGTTCGAGATATCACTAATCTATCGCGGCATCCTTCTCCCGACCGCCACTCACATGTCCTGGACCACGATGTACTGGTGAGGGATGAGCCCGTCCACGCCGTTGTGCCGGCCCTCCCACCAGTCCTCGGAGGCACGGTGACACAGGAGCAGCGAGGCCCCCTTCTTGAAGGACAGCTCACGGGGGGACCGTCCCACGTAGTCGAACTTGGCGATGGCCTCGATCTGCTCCACTTCTGGAAGGAGAGTGAGGGAGAGAGTGTGCCTGAGGCCAGCAAGGGGCAGCCGGGAGCTGCACTCAGGGGCCTGGCTTCTTGGGGAGGGACAGACAGGCAGGGCGGGCACATGCGGGCCGGGGCGCCGGGGTTCCAGCTCAGACCCGCCCTGCACTCTGCTGACACCCCAGACCCTCGCTTTCCACTGTCCCTCGGGGTCTCCACTTTCTGACACTCATTAAAACAACATCTGAAGGAATTTCCTTTTCCCCAACACTTAACAGCTCTATTTCTGTTTGCCCGTGACCCCTCCCCGCTGTGCCCACGTACAATGCTTCTAGTGGTTCTCGGCCTTTGGGGAGGTCAGACAGACAATGCGTGTGGCCCTCATCCATGTAAAATGTGGCACACGGTTTCTAAGGGTTCCCAGATTCCTCAAAGCACATTGTTAAGGATTGAATGGGGTCTCCCCAAAATTCCTGCGTTGAAGCCCTTATCCGCAACGCGATATTTAGAGATAGAGTCCCTCATGCGTGTAACTGAGGTGACTAAAGTTAAATGAGGCCATAAATGTGGGGGCCCTAATGCAGGAAGACTGGTATCTTTATAATAAGAGGGAAAGAAGGCTGGGCGGGTGGCTCATGCCTGTCATCCTAGCACTCTGGGAGGCTGAGTCAGGAGGATTGCTCAAGGTCAGGAGTTCAAAACCAGCCTGAGCAAGAACAAGACCCCGTATCTACTAAAAATAGAAAGAAATTAATTGGCCAACTAAAAACATATATAAAAATTAGCCAGGCGTGGTGGCACATGCCTGTAGTCCCAGCTACTCAGGAGGCTGAGGCAGGAGGATCGCTTGAGCCCAGGAGTTTGAGGTTGCTGTGAGCGAGGCTGACGCCACGGCACTCTAGCCCAGGCAACAGAGTAAGACTGTGTCTCAAAAAAAAGAAAAAGTCCCCTGGTTCTGCCCACCCCACTGCGCCACCCCGGGCAGGCCGCCGTCTCCCCTCTACCTGGCCTCTTCCCTCTTACGCCTGCTTGGGTAGAGCCATTTCTCCCGGCAGCAGCCAGAGAAACTTTTTTTTTTTTTTTTTGAGACAGAGTCTCTCTGTTGCCCAGGCTAGAGTGCCATGGTGTCAGCCTAGCTCACAGCAACCTCAAACTCCTGGGCTCAAGCGATCCTCCTGCCTCAGCCTCCCGAGTAGCTGGGACTACAGGCACATGCCACCACGCCCGGCTAATTGCTTTTATAGATATATTTTTAGTTGGCCAATTAACTTCTTTCTGTTTTTAGTAGAGACGGAGTCTCGCTCTTGCTCAGGCTGGTCTCGAACTCCTGAGTTTGAGCGATCCTCCCGCCTCAGCCTCCCAGAGTGCTAGGATGGCAGGCGTGAGCCATGGTGCCCGGCCCAGAGGATCTTTTAAAAACATTAATCGGATCATGAAACTCCTCTGCTCAAAACCTCCGAAGGCTTCCCGCTGTGCTAAGAACAAGACCTGACTTCCTCCCACCACTCCCTGCTCTGGGCCTGCCTCACACGCCTTCTTGATGTTTCTCCTCCATTGTCGCACTGTGACATCTTTCAAACACCAAGGAAAGGTGGAAGGATCTTACAGTGAACATGCACATACCCACCACCTACATTTTACTACCAACGTTTTTGCTGTACCAGCTTTATCTATATACCAGCTATATCGATCCATCCCTGTATCTAAATATCCATCTGTCCATCTTCCTTTTTTAAAATGAATTTTAGATTAAGTTGTAAATAGCAGTACACTCCACCCCTAAACACTCACTCCAGCATAAATATTCACAGACCTTCTTGGTCTTTTTAAAATATGCCAAGTTTTTTCCCACCACAGGGCCTTTGCACCTGTCACTGCCCCTTTCTGGAATGCTGTTCTCCCAGGCCTTTGCAGTCATGCACATCCACCACATATCCATTACTTACCGGCCGCTGTGTGTGCCCTGCCCTGATTCCATCCGGGCTGTGCCCAGAGGCTGTCGCCTCAGCGGCTTTCCCGCCCCCACCGTGAGAGGCCCAGTGCCACATCACTTGCTTTTCTGCTACCTTGTGTCGCTTTGTTTTTCTTCATGGCGCTTATCACAGCCTGCCTCAGCACGTCTCCGTGTGCATCTCGTGTGCGCGCGCGCGCGTTGTGTGCGCGCGCGCGCGTTGTGTGCGTGCGCGCCGTGTGGCTTTCAACACTCACAGCTCCTTTGCTGCCAGTCTTTCCTACTAAAGTGTGAGCAGCAACTCGAACTGGGAATTCCGTGACTAGCGATGGAAACAGCCCCGCTAGAACACAAAGACCTGCCCATCCGTCCTGCCTCTTTTTTATTTATTTATTTTTGAGACAGAGTCCCAATCTGTCACCCGGGCTAGAGTGCTGTGGTGTCAGCCTAGCTCACAGCAGCCTCCAACTCCTGGGCTCAAGCGATCCTCCTGCCTCAGCCTCCCGAGTAGCTGGGACTACAGGCATGCACCACCATGCCCGGCTGATTTTTTCTATATATTTTTAGTTGGCCAATTAATTTCTTTCTGTTTATAGTAGAGACAGGGTCTCGCTCTTGCTCAGGCTGGTCTCGAACTCCTGACCTCGAGCGATCCTCCCGCCTCGGCCTCCCAGAGTGCCAGGATGACAGGCGTGAGCCACCGCGCCCGGCCGGGTCTTGCCTCTTTCATCAGCTCCAGAAGCCTCCCGTGAGCACATAGCCTGTGCTCCTGGCAAATGTGGTAGCAAACGGGGTGAAGGACTGCACCTCAAAGAGAAACACAAAGGCCAAGCAAGAGAACTGCTAAATAATGATGTTTAAAAAGTCAAAATGCCACAGGGAGAAGGAGGACAACAACACTCAGTGCGCGGCGTCACGTGCCGGCCTCCATGGCCACAGCCACTCCTGCCGATGTGGATCCCTTCCTCCATAAAAAACATTAAAAATTATATTTTAGGGCCGGGCGCGGAGGCTCACGCCTGTCACCCTAGCACTCTGGGAGGCCGAGGCAGGAGGATTGCTTGAGTTCAGGAATTCGAGACCAGCCTGAGCAAGAGCGAGACCCCGTCTCTACTATAAATAGAAAGAAATTAATTGGCCAACTAAAAATATATACAAAATATTAGCCGGGCATGGTGGCGCATGCCTGTAGTCCCAGCTACTCGGGAGGCTGAGGCAGGAGGATCGCTTGAGTCCAGGAGTTGGAAGTGGCTGTGAGCGAGGCTGACGCCACAGCACTCTAGCCTGGTTGACTCTGCCTCAAAAAAAAAAAATTTAAATTTAAAAATTATATTTTATAACTGCATTGGTATAAGGATAAATATAATCTGGGCTGTATGTCATATTCATTTTTTCCTTCTGATTTTAGAAAAAATCAAGATATTTTAGTGACCCCTACCAGTAGCATAGACCCTGGGCGCTGTGCCCACTCTGCCTAATGGATGAGTTGGCCCCGGGCCCGTAGTGTCCAGAGCGCCTGTCTACACAGCCCGGTTTCCCTAGAGACTAATGCGACTCTCTTCTCCTAGTCGGGAAGGGCTGGAGGAATCTGCTGAGTGTCCTGGCGCCTGGCTGGCCTTTCTCTGTCTCCACATACCGCCCAGGGTCATCACTCTTGGCCTCGGGGTGCCCGCTGCCTGGGGACTAGTCTGGCCTCATCCCTTATGCATCACGAGGGGCTTCTTCCAGTCTGTCCAGGTCTGGCGACAGAACAGGAGCTCCTCAAGGACCAACATCTCGTTCACCCTGTGCCTATTTCCAGCGCGGGCCTGGTGCCAAGCAGATCCTCAAGAAAACGAAGCCAGCACAAAGGGAAGCAGAACTGGGAGGCAGGGACAAAGTCCTGACCGAAAAAAACCCATCCGTGCTCCTGGATCCAGCCATACCTGAAGCTGTGCCAACCCTGGGTTTATTTATTTTTTTTTCAGACAGAGGAGCTGATTCCCTTTCACGCTTAAGTCGATTTGAATTGGGGATTCCGTCATGAGCAACGACAGGGTTCACGACGTGCCCGCCCGTGAGGATCTGCTCTGCCGGGCCCGGGCTGGGACTTGGGGCGTGCCATGAAGGTTTTTCTCCCAGGTTCTCCTGGGTCCCCACGTGCTCTGACGTGGCGAGCTGGAGGGGCTGCGTGGCCAGCCCTGCGGCTGGGCGGGCATCACGCTGAGGGGCTTCCAGGACAGCCCCAGGCCCCGGTCCCCTCACCCACCTTCGTCGCTGGTGTGAGGCTCAGTGCCGTTGTCGTGGTCAACCTCATCGATGGTCCCAGGCTCGCTGTGGGGGCTGTCGCTGCAAGGGGACAGGGAACGCCGACTCGCTGGGTGGCCGTCTATACTCGCACCACCCTGAGCCTCCCACGGGCTCAGACGCGAGCCCCTCCCAGCCGCCTCCCTGGTGAGCCTCCAAACGCGTCCCCCCCCCCCCCGCCACGCTGTCATCCGGTGCAGTGGGGGGGGCTGGGGGGGAGGGGCAGTGCCGAAACCCCCGCATCCGCCACCGGGAGGACCAGGGCCAGAGCAGGAATCTCGGAAGCACTGTGAGCCGTGTCCTCTGGCCTGCCTCCCAGCCGGCCTCGCAGCTGCCTCCCAGCTTCGCAGCTGAGGGGTCCAGCCTGCGGGGTGGAGTGACGCCTCGAGTCCCCAAGCTGCAGCCCAGAGCCTCACGGGCAGGGCAGTGACGGCAGCCCAGGCTGCAGCCCCGCCGAGCATGAGGCTGAGGGGCCGGGGCCTCCCAGCGCAGCTGTCAATGTGCTGGCTTCGGTCTGGCGTGAGGCTCACACCTGTCATCCTACACTCTGGGAGGCCGAGGCAGGAGGATCGCTCAAGGTCAGGAGTTTGAGACCAGCCTGAGCAAGAGCGAGACCCCGTCTCTACTAAATATAGACAGAAATTAACCGGCCAACTAGAAATATATAGAAAAAAAATGAGCCGGGCGTGGTGGTGCATGCCTGTAGTCCCAGCTACTCGGGAGGCTGAGGCAGGAGGATCGCTTGAGCCCAGGAGTTGGAGGTTGCTGTGAGCGAGGCTGACGCCACCGCACTCACTCTAGCCTGGGCAACAGAGTGGGACTCTGTCTCAAAAATAATAATAATAAAAAATAAAATATTTCTTCTTCAACCCAGTGCTGTACCAGGTACAGAGAGGTGCCCGCCTAGTGATTGCTGACCCACCGCAGAACACTTAAAAAAAAAAACTGAGGTCACATAGCCCGGAAAAGAAAACTCCTAGGAGAGAAGGGACACGGGGGGGGCGGCGGCGTTGGTGGGAGCGGGGGGGGGGGGGGTGCGCGTCACACTCAGTTCTTGAGGCTGAGGTGCGGTTATCCACTCCCTGCTTCCTGAGGTGGACCTGTGACCCACCCAGCCAGTTGCACCACCACCTCTTCTTGCACCACCACCTCAATGTGATTGCTTCGCCAGCACCAGCCCCCAGCAACGAAACACAATTCTTGGCTTGGGCGGGAACATTTGGGAAAGAGAAGCTCTTTTTTTTCTACTGAAAATGCCGGATGAGTTATGAATCTAAAGTTGCCAGTTGGCTGCCTCTCATGACCAGCCACCAAGGGGAGAGGCTATTTGAGGACGAAACCAAAACAGGATAAAACAGAGCCAAGGCACGGCGGTTGTAGGACCAAGTCCTCATGATAATCATTGAGCCCCTGGATCAAGCTATACCTGAAGCTATCCTCCCAGATTTTTTAGTTAAATAAACTAATACATTCCCATCAGGCTTGAGCCAGTTTGAGTTGTATTTCTGTCCCTGGTAACCGAGAGCACCGTGACGGATGGACCTGTCTCGTGTAAGGCTGCTGTGAAGCTCAAATGAGAAAATGCATATGGAAGCAGAGACTGTCGCAGTAAGAAAACCGGAGGAAACTTCTGACTGTCCCCATACAACGGCGGCAGCCACGACGACAGTAATTACATTAAGGGGAATGGTGTCTTACCAGTATTCTTCCCCTCCAGCCATGCACTTCTCATACACAGGTCCCTCTAGCTCCCGGGGGCTGGGGAAGATGGCTTCGTGGTGGATGATGATGGTTTTGATGACCTCGTTGACGTGTGCCTGGCAGGACACCGGGTCCTGCCCGTCCGGGATGTGCATGAGGGTGGGCCCGAAGCAGATGGCCAGGTTGTAGGGGTCCATCATGTTCTCGTCACTGTACTGAGAGAGGCTAGGAGAAAGGAGGTGTCCACAGTCATCCGGGAAAGGCAAATCCCACCCCTGGGATTCTCCTCTTTGGGGGTGTTTGATGGGGGGACTCCACTCAATTCCAGAAGGTTCCATGTTCTTCTTTAAAAGCAGCACCTGCAGGCCGGGCGCGGTGGCTCACACCTGTCATCCTAGCACTCTGGGAGGCCAGAGCAGGAGGATCGCTCGAGGTCAGGAGTTCCAGACCAGCCTGAGCAAGAGCGAGACCCCGTCTCTACTATAAATAGAAAGAAATTAATTAGCCAACTAAAAATATATATAGAAAAAATTAGCTGGGCATGGTGGTGCATGCCTGTAGTCCCAGCTACTCAGGAAGCTGAGGCAGGAGGATTGCTTGAGCCCAGGAGTCTGAGGTTGCTGTGAGCTAGGCTGATGCCACGGCACTCACTTCTAGCTTGGGTGACAAAGTGAGACTCTTGTCTCAAAAAGAAAACAAAAAACAAAATAAAAACAGCACCTGCAAAAGCCTCAGGACACACCCTCCCAGAGGAGGCCGGAGCCAGCCAACAAGGGGCCCCTTGTCCACTAGTCAATGAGGACATGGAAGAAAGAGGGGGGCCCTTGGCTAGACACTCACTGGTTGAGGAAGGCGAAGAGGTATCTCATGACCACGATGACCACACGGGGAAGGGTGACAAGGATTTGCTGGATCTGGTGCACCCTCTCAGCCAGGTTCTCCAGTTCTGAAACATAAAAGGGCTTTGCAGGAATCAAAACCACAATGAGACATCACTTATCTCCAGTGAGAATGGCCTTTATTAACAAGTCCCCAAACAATAAACGCTGGTGTGGATGCGGAGAGAGAGGAACACTCCTACACTGCTGGTGGGACTGCAAACTGGTTCAGCCTCTGTGGAAACCAACATGGAGATACCTTAAAGCGATACGAGTGGATCTACCATTTGATCCAGCAGTCCCACTACTGGGCATCTACCCAAAAGATCAAAAATCACTCTGTAAAAAAGACACCTGCACTCGAATGTTTATACCAGCACAATTCACAATCGCAAAGCTTGTGGAAACAACCGGAGTGCCAATGGATACATGAGTGGATTAATAAAATGTGGCGTGTGTATACCATGGAGTTCTACTCAGCTATGAGAAACAGCGGTGACAGGGCACCTCTTGTGTTTTCCTGGATAGAGCTGGAGCCCATTCTACTGAGTGAAGTATCCCAAGAATGGACAAACGAGCACCACGTGCACTCACCAGCAAAGTGGTACGAACGGATCAACACCTAACTGGACAAAGAGGAGTAACCTTCATCGGGGTGGGGGGGTGTCGGGCGGGTGGGGGAGGGGATGGGCATACACATCCATTATGAATGCGGTGGGTGCGCACCAACTAGGGATGGGCGCACTTGAAGCTCTGACTTGAGGGGGAAGGGGGGCAAGGGCAATATACCTAACCTTAACATTTGTACCCCATATTAACAAAAATCTGCATACAAACAAACAAAAAAAAAACATTTGTACCCTCATAATATGCGGGAAAAAAGAAAAATAAAGGATTTGAATTTAAAAAAAAAAAAAGGGCTTTGCAGGGCACCTTTCACCCCCAGACCGCACCTCCTCTAAGCAGCCCAAGTGGACCGCGGGAGTGAGCGCTGCACCCTCAGTTCTGGGATCATACGTCATTCTGGCCTAGCCAATCAGAGCATCGTGGGCGGGACTGGAGTTGTGGCCTAATCAGAACCAATCAGAGCCAAGCCTCGGGACTGTGGGCGGGAGAGACCCGCAGGCAGGTGCCATCTTAAACCTGAGAGGGCGGAAGCGGAAGCAGCTCAGAAGTGGAGGCTGCTGGGGACCCCTGAGTGGGCAGAAGTGGAAGCAGCTGGGGGCCCCTGAGCGCGGAAGCAGCGGCAGCTGGGGGCCCCTGAGCGCAGAATTGGTGGCAGCTGGGGGCCCCTGAGCGTGGAAGCAGAGGCAGCTGGGGGCCCCTGAGCGTGGAATTGGCAGCTGGGGGCCCCTGAGCGCGGAATTGGCAGCTGGGGGCGCCTGAGCGCGGAATTGGTGGCAGCTGGGGGCCCCTGAGCGCAGAAGCAGAGGCAGCTGGGGGCCCCTGAACGCGGAATTGGCAGCTGGGGGCCCCTGAGCGCGGAAGCAGAGGCAGCTGGGGGCCCCTGAACGCGGAATTGGCAGCTGGGGGCCCCTGAGCGCGGAATTGGCAGCTGGGGGCCCCTGAACGCGGAATTGGCAGCTGGGGGCCCCTGAGCGTGGAATTGGCAGCTGGGGGCCCCTGAGCGCGGAATTGGCAGCTGGGGGCCCCTGAGCGCGGAATTGGCAGCTGGGGGCCCCTGAGCACGGAATTGGTGGCAGCTGGGGGCCCCTGAGCGCGGAATTGGCAGCTGGGGGCCCCTGAGCGCGGAATTGGCAGCTGGGGGCCCCTGAGCGCGGAATTGGCAGCTGGGGGCGCCTGAGCGCAGAATTGGTGGCAGCTGGGGGCCCCTGAGCGTGGAATTGGCACCTGGGGGCCCCTGAGCACGGAATTGGCAGCTGGGGGCCCCTGAGCACGGAATTGGCAGCTGGGGGCGCCTGAGCGCAGAATTGGTGGCAGCTGGGGGCCCCTGAGCGCGGAATTGGCAGCTGGGGGCGCCTGAGCGCTGAAGCGGAGGCAGCTGGGGGCCCCGGAGTGGGCAGAAGCGGAGGCAGCTGGGGGCCCCTGAGCGGCGGAAGCGGAAACAGCTGGGGGCCCCTGAGCAGCGGAAGCGGAAACAGCTGGGGGCTCCCAGAAGGAAGACCCCGCTGGACAGTGAAGCTTGCACAGTGAGACCCAGGGGCCAGACACCATGGGCGGGTCCCCAGCCTATACTGTTCCAGTGCATGAACCAATCGATGCACTCCCTTGCAGGAAGTAAGCCCGTCTGAGTTTCCGTCACCTGCCACCCGCGTGTCCTGACACAGGCAGGGACCGCAGTTCATTAAACCCTTTGCAAACACCGACTGCGGCACCAGCCTGGCACGTAGTACTGCGTTTCCCCAAAAATAAGACATGGTCTCACATTCATTTTTCCTTAAGACATCCTAGGGCCAGACTCGGTGGCTCACGCCTGTAATCCTAGCACTCCAGGAGGCCGAGGTGGGAGGATTGCTCGGGGTCAGGAGTTCAAAACCAGCCTGAGCAAGAGCCAGACCCCGTCTCTACTATAAATAGAAAGAAATTAATTGGCCAACTAAAAATATATATAAAAAAATTAGCCAGGCATGGTGGCGCATGCCTGTAGTCCTAGCTACTGGGGAGGCTGAGACAGGAGGATCACTTGAGCCGAGGAGTTGGAGGTTGCTGTGAGTTATGCTGACGCCACGGCACTCACTCTAGCCTGGGCAACAAAGCGAGACTCTGTCTCAAAAAAAAAAAAAAAAAAAATCTAACTGGAAAGCCGGGCGCAGTGGCTCATGCCTGTCATCCTAGCACTCTGAGAGGATGAGGCAGGAGGATCGCTCGAGATCAGGAGTTCAAGATCAGCCTGAGCAAGAGTGAGACCCCGTCTCTACTAAAAATAGAAAGAAATTAATTGGCCAACTAATATATAGAGAAAAAATTATCGGGGCATGGTGGCGCATGCCTGTAGTCCCAGCTACTCGGGAGGCTGAGGCAGGAGGATTGCTTGAGCCCAGAAGTTTGAGGCTGCTGTGAGTGAGGCTGACGCCACGGCACTCACTCTAGCCTGGGCAACAAAGCGAGACTGTGTCTCAAAGAAAAAAAAAAAGGTCTTCCCCCTCTTGCTCCACTTTACCCTTTCACCCTCTGGCACCATCCACTGGCCAGGTGACCCTCCTGCTAGTCCCACTGGCCTGTGTCCCCAACCCTTCCCAGGGTCCCCTGCGTCCACTCCTCCTGGTCACATATCCCTCCCAGCTCTGATCTACAAAACCGAGTCTCCCTCTGAGCCCCTTCCGTACCCAGGGGTGTGCCGCACCCATCACCCCTTTCCTTGTAAACCGTCTTGTTATTTCCACAGCTAGGTTTTCAGTCCAGTGGGGACTCAGGCCCACACACGTCTTCTCCCGTGACACCCCTCCCCCGAGCCCAGCGAAGAGATGCGCCCGCAGCCTGGTCTCAGAAGCGATCCGTCGAGGAACCCGCTGTTCCTCCCGAGAAATACTCACTAATGGCAGATATCAAGTCTTGAAACCTTTCCTTAGGAAAGAGTGGGTTTTCCAGTCCTCGGAAATACAGTTTTAAAACGCCAGCGACTGAGTTGATGTCGCGTTCGTTTTGATCGTCCACAAGGGGGTCTTCGCCTGCGTGGAAACAAGAGACAGAGTTTCAGCTTGATCAGGAGGCAGGGAATGGGCAGGCAGAGGGAGGGCTGAGCTGAGCCCAGCCTGCACTGCCAGATGAAAGGCAGACGGGACGAGCCTCCCTTACATGTGACCCTCACCAACAAGTGTAACGCCCCTTGCGGTTTCTTATTTGAATATGTTCAAATCTATGGAAAAGTTACAAAAGTAAAATAATGACCACCCATCACCTTCTTTTACACTCATCTGGCCACATTTGCTCTATTTGTGTTTATTGTCGATCAAAATTCTAGAGTAGAATTTCTGTAGACATCGAGACATGTCACTGCTAAATAGTTCAGCACATTTCTCCTAAGAATAAGACTATTCTCGGCCAGGCGCAGTGGCTCACGCCTGTAATCCCAGCACTCTGGGAGGCTGAGGCGGGAGGATCGCTCAAGGTCAGGAGTTCGAAACCAGCAAGAGCCAGACGCCGTCTCTACTACAAATAGAAAGAAATTAATTGGCCAACTAAAAACATATATAGAAAAAATGAGCCGGGCATGGTGGCGCATGCCTGTAGTCCCAGGCAGCAGGAGGCTGAGGCAGGAGGATCACTTGAGCCCAGGAGTTTGAGGTTGCTGTGAGCTGGGCTGACGCCACGGCACTCACTCTAGCCTGGGTGACAGAGCGAGATTCTGTCTCAAAAAACCAAAAAGGATGAGGAGCTACTGCTGTCCTTCCGGCCGCGCCTCTGCGTAGGAGAGACTCCTGGCGCTCACTCGGCTGCTCGCACAAAGCAGGGACAGCCGGGGTTGGTGGGGGCAGAGGGGTGGAAAGCTGGCATGGCAGACGACAGCAAACCACAGCTCATCCCAGGGCCCAGCTGCCAATTCCTGACTTCATGATTTCTTTTTTTTCCCCTCCTTCATCGTGCCAGAAGATTCCAGGAAGAACTCAAAACTTGAGCAGTGAGCTTAAGATTTATTGATAAGAACAGCAGAAAGAATTCCAAAGGAAACTGGCATTGACTAGTATCAGAAGAAAAAGGAAGTATGTTTAGGAAGAATAAGCCAGGAGTGGATTTCCAACATGTTATCAACTTCTAAAAGCTTAAGGAAAAGAAACACTGCACTCCTTTTAACAGCCTGCTGCAAGGAATGCAGGAAAGAACTTCTGCCCCTGAGGGCCGAAGGCGGTGCAGGTCATCCGAGCACTCTGGGACGGCTTCAGACTGGCGCCGCGGGATCTCGCGCTCGCACACGCTTCTCGACGCACTCTCACGCCTGACCAACCGCCGACGCGACGCACACCCGCCCGTCTCCTCACTACACAATAGCCACCCACGAAAATTACACCTCACGCCCCTAAAAACCCTACTCACTCACACCTCACCCGCACACACACTCTTCACGCCCGCGCACATCCGGTGCGCCGCACTTCTCTTGTACAGTTTCAACAGCCTTACACCTCTGGGAGGCTTAGTCTTGCAGCGAGGATCCGCTGAGCCGCCAGGAGTCCTTGATGGTTGCCTGTGACGCCGACGGTCTGACACTCTTTTCCATGTACACCCTCCACACTCTAGCCTCTTTCCGGGCTCAACAGAGTGATTTATTCTCTGTCTTTTCAAAATAATAAATATATAGTTACTTAAATTAAATAAAAAATAAAGTAAAAAACTTTCTGCTGGAGAGTTCAAATTGAAAGAAAAAAAATCACAATCTTTCATGAAAGAACATACAAATTTCTTTTTATACAAGTGGCAAAAGAATATAGCTCCCTTGTCATGTTGGATTCTAGTTCAGGTCTCTTTGCATCTTTCTTTCTAATACTGTAAGATACACAGCCAGAATAGCGAGCAACACTACGATGCTTATTCTTCGATTGCGAGTATTTAAGCTCCGTCACTTTACGGTGCTGGTTCTTGCGTTGTGGGAGGCTGATAGAGTTGGTCGAGAAGTATTCGACACACTCGATGCTGCTCTGCACACGCGCCACCCTCTGTGTCTGGGTGGCGCGCTCGGCGACGGCAGCTTCGCGCTCCTCTTCGCCCTCGCAGTAGGCTGGTAAGCGTTCTCTACGTCACTGCTTGCAACCGAGCTGCGGCGCGAGAGCACGAAGTTCAGTCCCGAGGGTCAGCCAGGTGAGAAGGCAAATCTGGGGCGTTCACGTGCTCTGTGAGTGTCACACGGAGCAGAAAAGAGTCCGTGAGAAATCCGGCACTGGCCGAGCGCCGTGGCTCACACCTGTCATCCTAAGCTCTCTGGGAGGCCAAAGTGGGAGGATCGCTCAAGGTCAGGAGTTCAAGACCAGCCTGAGCAAGAGCAAGACTCTGTCTCTACTAAAAATGGAAAGAAATTAATTGGCCAACTAATATATATAGAAAAAATTAGCCGGGCATGGTGGTGCATGCCTGTAGTCCCAGCTACTCGGGAGGCTGAGGCAGGAGGATTGCTTGAGCCCGGGAGTTTGAGGTTGCTGTGAGCTAGGCTGATACCACCACACTCACTCTAGCCTGGACAACAAAGTGAGACTTTGTCCGCCCCCCTCCCAAAAGAAAAAAAAAAGAAATCCGGCACTGGCAGCCCGGAAAAAAAGCCAGCGATGGATTTTTCTAAAAGAGACATAGCAGGAGCTGTTCTTTCAGAAGCAGACATGCTTCCCGGGGGGGGGGGCAGGAGGACAGGACTAGCGAGAGAACAAGATGCATTTCGAAGTTATGAGCAGAGGGAAAGTGGCCAACTGCAGGTGTGAGGCAAAGAAAAGGGAGAAAAATGGTTTTCGTAGCTGAGATTTGGGTCAGGTGATCTCTCCCTGCCCAGCTGGGCTCTGCCTGGGGCCATCCAAGGCTCATTAGGAGCAGAGAATCCTTTTTTTTTTTTGAGACAGAGTCTCACTCTGTTGCCCAGGCTAGAGTGAGTGCTGTGGCGTCAGCCTAGCTCACAGCAACCTCAATCTCCTGGGCTCAAGCCATCCTCCTGCCTCAGCCTCCCGAACTCCTGACTGAGCGATCCGCCCGCCTCGGCCTCCCAGAGTGCTAGGATTACAGGCGTGAGCCACCGCGCCCGGCCTTCCAGAGTCTTTAAAAGGCCCCCCTTCCCAGCAACCAGGGAACAGTCCCCTAGAGAAAGTCACCATTGAGCAGCAGGAGGAGGAGGAGGAAGAAGAGGAGGCGTATGTTTAACGGTCAGCTCTGGCGGGAAACAGAGATCACCGCCTTTGCCAATTGCCGTGGTGCAAACACTCCGTGGCGTTCGAGCTGCCAGGGCTAAGCCGTCGGCGAGAATCTGGGAAGAGGTGTGTACGGGCGCAAGCCGGCGTCCGCGCGGCACGGGCTCTGAGTCGCACGTTCACACCCACCCCGTTTTCCCCGGCCACGAGCTGGGGACGGCCACCACCAGGCACCCACCTCTCTCAAAGGAGTTTCTGATGTCGCTGACCTCCACCTGAGAGCCCGGCACTCGGAAGACTCCCTGCTGCTGCAGTCCTGGACGGGAGACAGAGGGAGACAGTGAGTGCCGTCGGCCTGGAGCTGCTCAGTCCTCGGGGAGTCCAGCGACTCTGCCCACGGCTCGGCGCCTTCTCCCTCCGTCCTTTAAAATAACAAGAGTCGGCCGGGCGCGGGGGCTCACGCCTGTCATCCAGCACTCTGGGAGGCCAAGGCGGGAGGATCGCTCAAGATCAGGAGTTGGAGACCAGCCTGAGCAAGAGAGAGAACCGGTGCCTACTAAAAAAAATAGAAAGAAATTAGCTGGACAACTAAAAATATATAGAAAAAATTATCGGGGCATGGTGGCACATGCCTGTAGTCCCAGCTACTCGGGAGGCTGAGGCAGGAGGATCGCTTGAGCCCAGGAGTTGGAGGTTGCTGTGAGCGAGGCTGATGTCATGGCACTCACTCTAGCCTGGGCAACAGAGTGAGACTCTGCCTCAAAAATAAGTACACAAATAAAAACGACGAGAGCCATTCCCAGTGGAGGTCTCCTGGCGGAAGCCCCAAGATGGCCTTTGCAATGAAACACGGCGGGCCAAGTGCCCGGACACACCTGCTTTGTGTGACTGATCTCCCGCCTGGCTTAAAGGAAAAGGCCGCTAGCAGCTTGGGTCAATGCTGTTCTCCACCCCGGCCAACATCTGTCTTTAAGGGAAGCTAGACTCTAGCATGGCAGATTAAATTATTAAAGAAAGCCAATCTCATTTTGTTGTTGTTGTTTTGAGATAGAGTCTCACTCTGTTGCCCAGGCTAGAGCGCCGTAGAGTCAGCCTAGCTCACAGCAACCTCCAACTCCTGGGCTCAAGCGATCCTCCTGCCTCAGCCTCCAGAGTAGTAGCTGGGACTACAGGCATGCGCCACCAAGCCCGGCTCAATTTTTTTCTATCTATTTCTAGTTGTCCAGCTAATTTCTTTCTATTTTTTTAGTAGAGACGGGGTCTCACTCTTGCTCAGGCTGGTCTCCAACTCCTGACCTTGAGCGATCCTCCCGCCTCGGCCTCCCAGAGTGCTGGGATGACAGGCGTGAGCCACCACGCCCAGCCAACAACCTCATTTTTTAAACATGTTTCTCCAAGGCCTTAACAAAGAGGAGATCCTGAACCTGCCACAGCAGTAACTATGTAACCTCAGCCTGTGCGACGGAAAGAATGAGAGGGCCCACCTCGTCTCAAATGGGAATTAATGGGGGAGGCTGGGACCCTTTCCCTGGTTTTTCTCTATAAAACAGTTCTCCACATTATACTTTTTTTTTTTTTTGAGACAGAGTCTTACACTGTTGCCCAGGCTAGAGTGAGTGCCGTGGCGTCAGCCTCGCTCACAGCAACCTCAGACTCCTGGGTTCAAGCAATCCTCCTGCCTCAGCCTCCCGAGTAGCTGGGATTACAGGCATGCACCACCACGCCCGGCTAATATTTTCTACATATATATTAGTTGGCCAATTAATATCTTTCAACTTATAGTAGAGACGTGGTCTCGCTCTTGCTCAGGCTAGTTTTGAACTCCTGACCTCAAGCGATCCACCCGCCTTGGCCTCCCAGAGTGCTAGGCTGACAGGCGTGAGCCACCGAGCCCGGCCCCCCACATTATATTTTAGGAAGCATTTACCGTCAAAGGGCAGAGTTTGGTTGGTACGTAGTATGTGCTCAATAAACACTTGTTCATCTCTTTCGGGGAACCATACTGAATTTCTATCACCCGAGACTCTGAAGCCATCCTCCTGGCCGGTGACCCCCTAGCCACACTGACCCTCCCTCCCTCCCATGTTGGGCCTTTCCACCTGCCATTCCCATTCTCCCCACCCGGACCCTATGGTGGGCTTCTCCTACTCTCTTGTGACTTACCGTGTTTCCCCAAAAATAAGACACAGTCTTATATTTATTTTTCCTCAAGAAGACACCCTAGGGCTTATTTTCAGGGGACGTGTTAATTTTTTTAAGTACGGTACAACAACCTACATTGATTCAAATAAAGTGAAGTCATCATCACTCTCCAAACCCCGAATTCCATCCTGAATATCTTGTGACTCTAGTGACGGGCGTGGCTGCGCAGCATCTGCACAACCCGTGCGTGTCGTCGCGGAGCGGGAAAGAACACGAGCAGCCCTTCTCCTCCGCCCCGTGACAGCTCTAGTGCTCCACAGGAGAGATCGGGGCCGATGGCTCTAAAGGAAACAGTCGCTAGACACTCAGGATGGGACTCAGGGTTTGGAGAGTGAGGATGATGTTCCAGAAGAAGACGACTTCACTCTATTTGAATCAATGGAGATGGTTGTACTGTCCTTAAAAAAAATGACACATCCCTTGAGAATAAGCCCTAGGTGTCTTCTTGAGAAAAGATAAGTACAAGACCGTCTGATTTTCGGGGAGACACGGCAGCACCTGATTTACTGGCCAATGGCATTCAGGGCTGAGAGCACAGAGCTCTGGGGTGGATGGGAAGTGGGGAAGGAACTGACACAGTCCTCCTGTTGGTGACCTGACTGTTCCTGCCCCCTCGGTGCTCCCAGGCCCTGGGTCCCAGGACCATGACCGCCACGCACCGCCCAGACACACAGGGCTCAGGAGACAGCAGTCCCAAGGGCAGCTGCTCCGCTCGGCATCTTCTGCTTGGGAGCAGGGCAATGACAGGAAGTCTTCCAGGACGAATTAGAACCTCGTTTTCCCATCGGGACTGCCTCGCACCTGCTCCTCGCATTGCCGCCCCGGCCCCGGGGCGCGCTTACCGTATAGATTGATGTAGCGGATGCAGCTCTCGACCACAAGCGGGATGGCTTGTCCCGAATCCTTAAGACAAAACAAATAATTGTGAGTTTTATCGGGCTGGACAATTGCTACCACAGGAAGAAAAGACATTGCCAACACAGATCGTAAACGCAAGCCAGAATATTAGTGCCGCCGGATTAGTAGGAAAACAAGCAAGGAGCTGCTAGTCCTAAAGTCCCCACCAACAGTTAACGACAGCAAGTCTCTGGGTAGGTGCGGAAAAGAGGCATCGCCGGACAGCTCTAAAGAAATGCTCTGTCTTCTGCCCCAGGTGATGGGGAATCTGGGCTGGGGAAGCTTGACGGGCACACCTGGGAGGGGCTGGTGTCTGGCCTCGAGGAGTTCCCTGCTACTGGCCACTCCGATAAAAAGGCAGGAGCGAGTCCTTAACCCTGTCCCTGCAGGACCTGGCCGCAAACACGATGGAGGAGGCATGGCTGCCTCCAGCGGTGCTTCGCACTCCAGGAGGGGGGCCAGCGCTGCTCACGCTCCCACAGCGGAACCTCCGGACGCGCACGCTGTGTAGCAGATGCACAGGCGCACACCTTAACAGATGCATAGATGCATGCTTTGTATATTTCCTGGCAGTGTTGAAAAAAGGGAAAAAAAGCCAAAAATAAAAAAAGAAAAAATTAAAAACAAAAAAAAAAAATAGACGCATACTTTGTTTAGCAGATGCATAGATGCATACTTTGTATATTTCCTGGCAGTGTTGAAAAAAGAAAAAAAAGCCAAAAGAAAGAAAAAATTAAAACAAAAAAAAAGAAAAAAATAGATGCATACTTTGTTTAGCAGATGCATAGACGCATATTTTATATATTTCCTGGCAGGGTTGAAAAAAAATAAGCCAAAAAAAGAAAGAAAAAATTAAAACGAACAAAAAGAAAAAAGAAAAAAAAAATAGACGCATACTTTGTTTACCAGATGCATAGACGCGTACTTTGTTTAGCAGTTAACACGTCACAGGTAAAAGCTCTAGAAGCAGCTAACGTCAGCCCTAGGGGCCAAGCCTTAGTCCAAAAGGCTGCAGAAGACGCGGCTCTAAATACAGGCAGCTGGAGCAGTGCTTCCATGGCATCTTCCTAGACACCTGGCTGGGCAAGGGGCAGTTGTCTTTGGGAGTCCATGGCCGGCTGACCTCTCTGTTATACCAGGTCACTTACAGAGCATTAAAAAAATTGTGTTTTTTTAACTTTCTTAAAAAGGGGCCAAGTTCCATCACTAGCCTCCTCACCAGGCTTGGAAACAACGAGACATATGTAATGTACTTTCTTTTTTTTTGAGGCAGAGTCTCACTCTGTTGCCCAGGCTAGAGTGAGTGCCGTGGCGTCAGCCTCGCTCACAGCAACCTCCAACTCCTGGGCTCAAGCGATCCTCCTGCCTCAGCCTCCCGAGTAGCTGGGACTACAGGCATGCGCCACCATGCCCGGCTAATTTTTTCTCCATATATATATTAGTTGGCCAACTAATTTCTTTCTATTTTTAGTAGAGATGGGGTCTCGCTCTTTCTCAGGCTGAGCTCCCACCTCGGCCTCCCAGAGTGCTGGGATGACAGGCGTGAGCCACTGCACCCGGCCACTAACGTGCTCTTGTAAAGATGGCGTGGCTCTGCATGTGCTCTCGGCCACTCCACGCCCCACCTGTGGACTCTACCCCAGGCCGGCCGCGGTCAGGGAGAGGGCAAGACCCGGGCCCACCAGTGACTGGCCAGTGCCCGGCCGGGACCGGGTGGACGGACCCCATTCTGGGAGCCAGCACTAAAGACAGGCTCCCCCTGGAAGAAAGGGGGGCTCACGGGCCTTTCTGGAAATACCTGGTTCCTGGTTCGAGCATTTCTTCTTCCTCTGATAGCAAGACACAGAGAGGCAGCAGAGCGGGAGAGAAAGAGAAGATTATGCGGGACAGATCAGCTGGAGCCAGCAGGTCCTTGGGAGTCCGGGAACGCCGGAATGCAATGGCAGCCAGCCAAGGGGGTCCTGGGGGTGTCCCCGGAGCCCGCCCGCGGGGAGGGCCGCCCTGAGCCGCAGTGCCCCTCTGGGGGCCTTCTGGAAGCTGCCCCCAGCCAGCCTTCCCCTGGGGCTGCCTCAGTCTCCCCCAAAGACGGCAGGGGACAAGGGGGCTCCTTCCGTCCCTGTTGCAATGCCAGAGCTGAGCCCCCGGCCCGGTGCCTAGCTTCTCCCGATGACGGGGCCGGAGCCTCGCAGGCCCTGGGCGCGAGCCCAGCGCCACGACGAGGAGCGTGCCTGCGCAGCCCTGCCCTGGAGTCCGGCTCTGAGAAACCTCAGTCTTGGTAAAAAAAAAAAAAAAAAAAAAAGTTTCATTTTTACCCAGGTCGTGTCTACGAGGTGCCCTCCGGATTGGGGTCCCCCGGGGGCCCCAGCTTGACCCCCAACTCCGAACAGCCACTGAGCCACCCTGCCGCACTCGCCCCGACGCCGGCCTGGCTCTGCGCCCCTCGGACCGTCCCGGCCTGCACCCCGGCGCGGAGGGCACCTCCGGGACACAGGTGCCCGCCGGAAGGGGCCGGAGGAGGGAGGGAAGTAGAGTCAGAGGCCTGAGTGGTCCGTCCCAGGCTTGGCTGTCGCTGAGAGCCACTGGCGCTGCCCGCTGTCGGGGTGGGGGGGCACCATGCTTTCCCGCCCTTCCCAGGGCTGAGCGGGGGGCGGGTGCCGCGTCCCAGGTGAGCTCCCTGAGCGTGGGTGTCCTCTGGCTCCTGCCTCCTGTCCGGCTCCTGGCCTCCCAACAAAGGGTGCTGTCTGCTGGCTGCCCCCGCCTGAGCCCTAGAACCCGGCAAGCACCTCAGTGTGCTCCAGCGGGCTCCTGAGAGTGACATCCCCAAACGGGTGCTAGCAGTGCTAGGTGACACTTGCATGGGCTTACAGGTGCCAGCCAGTGACATACATTATTAGCTCATGTCATCTTTTTGGAGACAGAGTCACCCGGCCAGAGTGCCATGGCATCAGCCTCACTTGCAGCAACCTCCAACTCCTGGGCTCAAGCGATCCTCCTGCCTCAGCCTCCCGAGTAGCTGGGACTACAGGCATGAGTCACCGTGCCCGGCTCAATATTTCTATATGTTTTTAGTTGGCCAATTAATTTCTTTCTATTTTTTTTAGCAGAGATGGGAGGTCTTGCTCTTGCTCAGGCTGGTTTGGAACTCCTGACCTTGAGCGATCCTCCTGCCTCAGCCTCCCAGAGTGCTAGGGTGACAGGTGCGAGCCACCGTGTCCGGCCGAGAAAGGACTCCTCTGATGCAGCCTCACCCCCCGCCCCCACGACCCGATGGTGGCCCGCTCCCTCTGGGCCACCTGGTGCTCCTGGCAGGACCCCTCTTGGTGGCATCCTTTCTGCGTCTGTCCTCTCAGGTACACGAAACAGTCCTCGCGATTGCCCACCCCGGGGCAATCCCCACCTGGACCCTGGCGTTCCACTTGCCGGATCTCAGCCCACTGGCAGAGACAGTCCTGACACCCAGGCCGGTCGTGCCTGCCCCTCCCCTGCCTGAAGCCACCCGCATCATCTCTCCCTGTCCTGCAAGTCCCGCGCTGCACCCTGTCTGAGGACCAGGGCTGGGAGCCTCCCTGCCTCCCAAATCATCAGCAAAGCCCAAGAAGAGCCTCTACTTTTCTCCTGACTGATCCCCGTCTCCTATGTCTTTGCTGCGTCGTGGTGGGCTCTCAAAGGCCTGGCAGGGGCCTTCACCCCGTCCCCTAAGTGATGTGAGGAATGCCTCCCCCGTCGGGCGCTGCGGCTGACGCCTGTCATCCCAGCACTCTGGGAGGCCGAGGCGGGAGGATTGCTCAAGGTCAGGAGTTGGAGATCAGCCTGAGCAAGAATGAGACCCAGTCTCTACTAAAAATAGAAAGAAATTAATTGGCCAACTAAAAATATGTAGAAAAAGTGAGCCGGGCATGGTGGCGCATGCCTGTAGTCCCAGCTACTCGGGAGGCTGAGGCAGGAGGATCGCCTGAGGTCAGGAGTTGGAGGTTGCTGTGAGCTAGGCTGACGCCATGGCACTGTAGCCCGGGTAACAGAGTGAGACTCTGCCTCAAAAAAAATAAAGAGTAAAAATAAAGAATGGCTCCTCCTTCCTTCCTCAGTATGCCCGCACCTGTGCTCTATGCAACTCCGTCACCATGTGGATTTGCCCCGAGCCCTGGCATCTGGGACGGCTCGACCTTGCACCCTTCACATCGAAGGAGAAAGAAAAGAGGAGCTCACCTAGCCGAACCGCCTTCTCTTTTAGTTTAAGGTGGAAAGGGTTAACCTGGAATTTGAAAGGGCCCACCTCATCTCTCCTCCCTCCTTGCAAGCCACCTAGCAAGAAGCAAAGCTCGGCGGGAGGATGTGATTTCCCTTGCCAAAAACTGCGTGTGTTTCCTTTGCAAGTATGGACGCGGATAAAAAAAGAAGAAATCACTGGTATGAAAACGCGCTGCCACCCACCGGGATTTCCTTGTGTCGCTTTCAACCCACAGCCCCCTTGGGGAGACGTGGGTGCGAAGAGAGGACACGGGGCTCCTCTGACTCCCCCCACCCCTGGGGGTCAGGGCTGCAGCTCCGGAAGCAACAGAGCGAGGCTGGCTGGGGCCGAGGCCTGCCACCCCCACCCACTGGGCTCCGTCATGGGCAAGGCCGTCCTCCCGGGCTGAGACTCAGGGAGGCACTTCGGGGCGGAGGCCAGAGCAGCTGTGAGGCGGCCTCTGGCTGATGCTGAGAGCAGCGCCCCTGGCTCAGCGGGGCCTGGGCCGGAGGACAGGGCGGCGGGGAGAGAGGGGCTGCCGTTACATCCGGCGGCTCCGGGCTCCCGGCTCCCCGCGGGTACCTGGATGAAGGCCTCCATACTGCCGTTAAAGAGCCTATGGCCACACACTGAGAGGGGCCTAGGTCTCCTCATTTTCTGTGGCTTAGGGGGAAGGCAGGGGGGCCTGGAGGGAAAAACGGAACAAAACAAATCAAGAAAGAACCGACATTGCAGACCCAGTCCTTTGTGGGAAAGACAAAAAAGAGAAAAAGAAAATAGAAAAAAATAATAATGATAATAAAAATAAATAGATAAATAAAAAGAAAGCAACTGACATTGTAGACCCAGTCCTTTGTGGGAAAGAAAAAAAAGAAAATAGGAAAAAAATAATAATGATAATAAAAAATAAATAAATAAAAAGAAAGCAACGAACATTGCAAACCCAGTCCTTTGGGGGAAAAAAAAGAAAATAGGAAAAAATAATAATGATAATAATAAATAAACAAATAAGAAGCAAGCAACCAACATTGCAGACCCAGTCCTTTGTGGGGGAAAAAGAAAAAAAAAGAAAGTAGAAAAAATAATAATAAAAATAAATAAATAGATAAAAAGCAAGCAACCGACATTGCAAACCCAGTACTTTGTGGGAAGAAAATAGGAAAAATAATAATGATAATAATAAATTAATAAATAAAAAGAAAGCAACCAACATTGCAAACCCAGTCCTTTGGGGGGGGGAAGAAAATAGGAAAAAAAGGTAATAATAATAAAAATAAATAAATAGATAAAAAGCAAGCAACTGACATTGCAAACCCACACCTTTGTGGGAAAAAAACAAAAAAGAAAATAGAAAAAAAAAGAATAAATAAATAAATAAAAAGAAAGCAACCGACATTGCAAACCCAGTCCTTTATGGGGGAAAAAAAAGAAAATAGAAAAAAATAATAATAAAAATAAATAAATAAAAAAGAAAACAACTGACATTGCAAACCCAGTCCTTTGTGGGGAAAAAAACATAGAAAGAAAATAGAAAAACAATAATAATGATAATAATAAATAAATAAAAAGAAAGCAACCTACATTGCAAACCCAGTCCTTTGTGGGAAAGAAAAAAAAAGAAAATTGAAAAAAATAACAATAATAATAATTAATGAATAAATAAAAAGAAAGCAACCGACATAAACACAGGGCGGGAAGGCTGGGCCCACGCCTGAAGGAGAACACAAAATGCAGACGGGAGCCCCTGGCCCATCCCCCCGCCCCCCAACACATTGGTTTCCAATGTTCCATCTGAAGGCCTTTCGGATGTTTTCAGGGGTCCTCAGTTTACCCACAGTGCCGAGCAGGAGCGACCCAGGCTTGTCTAACACAAATGCATTCTGAATCTGGGGGTGTGGGGGGAACAGACATGCCCGAGAAACCACCATGGAAACCCCAGGGAGACAAGCCGGCCAGATGGAGGGGGAGGGGCGCTCAGGGGAGGGGGTGTGACGCGCAGGGGAGGAAAGCAAGAGACTTTCAAAAGTGATCGGTCAGGAGGGTTAACGTTCACTGTTTCCACTGAACTCGTCAGGAGTCCTCACTCCCAATGTACCGGGCCGCTGGTCTTCCCAGCGCCGTTCCAAATGCACTTGACTCGTCTCCGTGCCCTTGGTCTCAGAGCAGGTGATTATTATTATTCTCGTTTCAGAGACGAAGAAACTGGTGCTGCCAGGGAGGCTGCAGCTTCTTTGAGGTCTCTGGCTGACCGGGCTGACGGATGATCAGATCTCGTTCTTTTTCTTTTTTGAGACAGAGTCTCACTCTGCTGCCCGAGCTAGAGTGAGTGCCGTGGCATCAGCCTAGCTCACAGCAACCTCAGACTCCTGGGCTCAAGCGATCCTCCTGCCTCAGCCTCCCGAGTAGCTGGGACTACAGGCACGCGCCACCATTCCCGGCTGATTTTTTCTATATATTTTTAGTTGGCCAATTAATTTCTTTCTATTTATAGTAGAGATGGGGTCTCCCTCTTGCTCAGGCTGGTCTCCAACTCCTGAGCTCGAGTGATCCTCCCGCCTCGGCCTCCCAGAGTGCTAGGATGACAGGCGTGAGCCACCACGCCCGGCCCCAGATCCCGTTCTTTAGTCGAGTAAGTGCTTTCTGATTAACGCACTTCCAAATCCGCGATCACGCTTCCCGCCGCCTTGACCCGGTCCATGTGGTCTCAGGAAACAGGACCGGACCAAAGCGTCGCCCCTCCCCTCCGCATTAACCCTCCCCCCACAGCGGTCAGCTTGAAAGTGCCTTGCTTTACTTCAGGCCTCGGCTCCTAAAGGACGCTCCGCTCTCGGCCACAGGGAGGGGAACCACACCGCAGCTCACCAGCGACAGGGAAACGGGCACAGACACGGCCGGTGTCCGGAGCCCGGCCGCCATGCATGCACCTGTGCCGGCTCATCTGCTCATTTCACCACCTGGGTCAGCCGGACTCCGTGCAGCCCGAGAAAAACGGCTTTCTGAGGTTAGCCGGAGGGCCCCTCCACCAAGAGAGGCCTTTTATTTCCAAATGGCTTGATTCCGAATTTGGGGGAAATAAAAAACAATCGGGGACCCCCGGCTGGGCACAGATAATGGTCACACGTGACAATCGAAGACCTGGCCCCTCCCCCCGAAAGCTGGATTGACTTTCTTTTTTTTTTTTTTTTTTTTGAGAGACAGAGTCTTACTCTGTAGCCCAGGCTAGGCTAGAGTGCCGTGGCGTCAACCTAGCTCATAGCAACCTCACACTCCTGGCCTCAAATCGACCCTCCTGCGTCAGCCTCCCAGGTAACTGGGACTACAGGCGTGTGCCACCATGCCTGGCTAATTTTTATATATTTTTTGTATATATATTTTTAGTTGGCCAATAATTTCTTTCTACTTATAGTAGTAGAGACAGGATCTCGCTCTTGCTCAGGCTGGTTTCGAACTCCTGACCTCGAACGAGCCGCCCGCCTCAGCCTCTCAGGGTGCTAGGATGACAGGTGTGAGCCACCGCACCTGGCCTTGACTGACTTGGACTGTGCAGCCAATCGAGATACATGATGAGGTTCCTGCTGCCTCTGTTTACCGGGCTCGTCATACCCGTGCCCGCCAGGAGCCCTGCCACCCGGGGAACCCGGACCCACTTCTCCAAGGTGTCTGAGCACTCAGCAAACTGAGCAAATGCTGCTGGCTCCAGGACATGCATGGGCAGAGGCTCGGCTGAATCCAAACATCATGCCACCCAGACAACAGAACCAAAGTGACAGCACAGATCAAAATCTTGAAAAGAAACAATAGGCAAGATGACTTCGAGCCCATCGTGGATCTATGTCAATTTGGTTAGCTAAGTCCATGTTATTTCTTTTCTTTTTTTTTTTTAATTACTTCTTCTTTGGTTTTTTTTGGAGGATGTATGTACATAGGGGTGGGATTTCTCACAACAGCTCTGCTTTTAAATTTCCAGATGCGGAAGGCAACGGAAGAGTGCCCAAACATGCGACGTGAGGCCACAGGTTTTAAGTTCAGGGATTGAAAATAACTGGAGGATAGCAACAGCGTTGTCACCTCGTTTTCCTAGCGTTTTAGGGGGTTCTGTTTGTGAACCTTCCCATATCGTGTCCTTATCTGCCACTGCCTGATGTGACCTTTTAACAGCCCTGCGAGGCAGGCGAGAATTATTAAACCCATTTTGCACACAAGGAACTGAGCCTATGAGAGAGGAAGAGACCTGCCCGTGCTCACGCCGAGGGACTGAGGCTGGAGGCGGCACCGGCTCCTCCCACTGGAGGCTCCAGTGCCACCGTGAAATGGCCTTTCATCGCGGAACCCCTGGCAGTCACGTGAGAGCGTCCACCGCAATCCCCACAGCCAGGACCGAAACTCGTTAAAGCAGGTGTTGGACACCCAATATTAAAAAAAAAATCCAGGATGTCCGACTGGACAGGTTCCTTAAAAGACATCCTGAATGTTTTTGTTTTTTTCTTAAATTTTGTAAAGTGGGATAAAGGGGAAAATAGGATATGTTTTCCCACGAAGCAAAAGGCCGTCTGAGAGTCACGCGGGGATCTCCTCCTATCTGTGCGGGCTGTCGGGGCGGGCCGCGGCCTCTGACGGGGAGCCCGGCTGCCCCAGCCCTGCACGGCCGCGGCCTCTGACGGGGAGCCCGGCTGCCCCAGCCCTGCACGGCCACAGCGGGACTCACTGGAGTGCTGGGCGGGCGCATAGTGGGGGGCTGGGGGGCGGCTCAGCCAAGGGGAGTGGGACAGCCTGGGCCTGTCATCTCGTCTGCTGCCCGTTAGAAGAGGGAAAAGGAAGGAAAGAGAGGGAGGGAGGGAGGGGGCAGGGAGGGGCAGGGAAAACGGGAACAGAGAAAAAGCCACAGAGAGGAAGAAAGAGAAACCAGAGACCAATGTCCCTTTTCTGCCTTTCCACCAAGATGAAAATTAATGAACGTTGGCAACCACGAGAATTAGCCTCAAAAATTATCCTGTGACTAAAAGGATGGGACTGAGAATTTCACTGGACAGCCCAACGGACGTGGAGGCCAACATACAAAATGGTCAGTGTCCAAAATCCGGAAGCACGGTGGTGGTCGGGCTCTCAGAGCCCGTGTGTGGGTGTGCGGCACACACACCTATTTGGACCAGACCTCAAGGGCCCCCCCAATTCAGGCCATGGGCCACCTCCACCTGGGTAAGGGAAGCCACACTGTCATTTGAATCCCGGTGATCGAACCTTACATGTGCATCTTGCGTTGCCCTTGACAATACACTTTTCAACTGCGCCATCACGTCTGGCCACCCTAAATAACAGGGTTACTAGGAATGGGGGCTGTTCTAACGTAAGTTTCTTTTGCTTTTTTTTTTTTTTTTTGAGACACAGTCTCACTCTGTTGCCCAGGCTGGAGTGCTGTGGCGTCGGCCTAGCTCACAGCAACCTCAGACTCCTGGGCTCAAGCAATCCTCCTGCCTCAGCCTCCCGAGTAGCTGGGACTACAGGCATGTGCCACCATGCCCAGTTCATTTTTTTTTCTATATATATTTTTAGTTGCCCAATGAATTTCTTTCTATTTTTAGTAGAGACGGGAGTCTCCTCCATCTTGCTCAGGCTGGTCTTGAGCTCCTGACCTTGAGCCATCCGCCCGCCTCGGCCTCCCAGAGAGCTAGGATGACAGGTGTGAGCCACCGCGCCCGGCCTAATGTAAGTTTCTTAAGTGTGAGAAAAATACGCCATGCGGCAGCCCATGTGCAAAACTGGCCCGTGTATATATACGAGGTCGACAGCAACTTGGCTGAGGGGGCCTGCTCAAATGACCACCCAAAACGACACTGAGCACCACGGGCGGGGCCACAGAGGGCACAGAAAGAGCCACAGCACAGAGTCATTTCACTGGGGCCTTTCAGATCAAGTTTGAAACCACTCCCAAATTGGCAGCCAGTTCCACATGTTCAATAATTATTTTGGAGCTAAAGGGAGATTTTTTTTTAGCTTACTAACAGAGTTGTCTTTGGCCTTCTCCAGGGGCCAGAGTGCAGCCAGGGGAGGTCTGCGGTTCCGTGCAGGGCAGCTGCAAACAGCCAGGGTACCTGAGTGGGAGGTCTGGTGAACTTTGCCTGGATTTCCCAGGCCCCAGGTCAAAGCGGGTGTGAAACAGAACACCCTAGAGTGCTTTATTTAAAAACACAAAACAACAGAACCCTCAACTCTCCCCTGCAGGAGGGTTTGATGGCAGGATCTTCTCTCTTGCAATCTGCTGGGACAATCTCCTCCACATGAACTCTAGGAATTGGGAAGGAGGGAGGGAGGGAGGGCAGCTCCATGCGTCCCCCAGCTATTTCACTATTACCGTGTTTCCCCGAAAATAAGCCCTACCCATGAAATAAGCCCTGGCAGGATGTCTGAGCATGTTCGCAATAGAGCCCCACCCCGAAAATCAGCCCTAGTGACGGGCGTGGCTGCGCAGCGTCTGCACAACCCGTGCGTGTCGTCGCAGCGCGGGAAAGAACACGAGCAGCCCTTCTCCTCCACCCGTGACAGCTCTAGTGCTGACAGGAGAGATCGGGGCCGGTGGCTCTAAAGGAAACAGAGTCGCAAGACATTCAGGATGGGATTCGGGGTTTGGAGAGTGAGGATGATGTTCCAGAAGAAGACGACTTCACTCTATTTGAATAAACGTAGATGGTTGTACCGTACTTAAAAAAAATAACACATGCCCTGCAAATAAGCCCTGGGGTGTCTTCTTGAGGAAAAATACATACAAGACCCGTCTTATTTGGGGGAGACGCGGTGGCAGAATCTGGTGTGAAATACATCTTCTGCTGTGTCGGGGCTACAGCGACACCTTCTCGCCAGAGGAAGAACAATATAATGGGTTTGTTTCTGAAAGGTTCTTGGAAAGCGACCCTGCACATCTGCCACCCCAGGTGGCCCGAGGGGCCTCGCCTGGCGGGATTATTCCTCCCTGATGCCCCCAGACTGCGAGGCCCAGAGGAGCAGCTGCACAGGCTGCAGCTCTGGAGAGCCCTGCGCTTCCCGCCCCGGGCCTTGGGGACACTGGAAACCACTGCAGCGCTTTGCAAGCCTCGGCCCTCCTGCTGCCTCCCCAGGGAGCAGGACACAGCTGAGGGTTCCTCCTTGCTCCTGCCAAAGAGACAGCTCTCCAGGAATCCGGGCCACCACCAGGAAGGGACCGCTTTGCGGGAGGGGAGAGCTAGCACTCAGGTCACCTGGCACAGAAAGGGAGGCCTGAAGCAGCTCTCAGCGACCCAGGAGGGGCAGGTGCAGGCTGTGGATTGGAACACGGGAGGGACTGGGCTGTGTGGGACAATCTGGATGGTAACACCACTGCCAGAGAGTCTGAACCCTCTGGGGGGGGACAGTCAGCCCTGGGGGGTCTGAACCCTCTGGGGGGGAGACAGTCAGCCCTGGGGGGTCTGAATCCTCTGGGGGGAGACAGTCAGCCCTGGGGGGTCTGAACCCTCTGGGGGGGAGACAGTCAGCCCTGGGGGGTCTGAACCCTCTGGGGAGGAGGGACCAGCAGCCCGGGGGTCGACCTCTGGGGGGACAGTCAGCCCCCGGGGTTCCTGAACCCTGGGGGGGACAGTCAGCCCGGGGGGTCTGACCTCCTGGGGGAGGACAGTCAGCCTCTGGGGTCTGAATCCCTCTTGGGGGGGACAGTCGCCACTGGGGTCCTGAACCCCTTCCTGGGGGGACAGTCCGCCTGGGGGGTTCCTTGAATCCCTCTGGGGAGGTAGACAGTCAGCCTGGGGGGTGTTTTTATCCGAACCCTCTGGGGGGAAGACACAAGTCAGCCCCTGGGGTCTGAACCCCTCTGGGGGGAGGGGAAACAATGTCCCAGCCTGGGGGTCCGGAGACCTCGAGCTGGGGCGGGGACAGTCAGCTGGGTTCTTGAAACCCTCTGGGGGGACAGTTCCCAGCCCCTTGGGTTCTGAAAAACCGCTCTGGGGGGGACAGCAGCCTCTGGGGGGTCGAACCCTCGGGGGGGGACAGTCGGCCCTGGGGTCTGAACCTCCGTGGGGGGGGGGGACAGTCCAACCGGCTGGGGTACTGAACCCCTCGGGGAGGACAGTCAGCCTTGGGGCACCTGAACCTCTGGGGGGAGAGTCAGCGCTGGGGTGTCTAACCGCTCTGGGGGGAGACAGCAGCCTGGGGGGTCTAACCCTCGGGGGAGAGCAGGTCAGCCTGGGGGTGTTCCTGAACCTCTGGGGGGACAGTCCCCAGCCCTGGGGCGGGTTCCGAACCTCTGGGAGGACAGTCACACTGGGGGTCCGAACGTCACCTCCGGGGGGATGGAGTCAGACCCTGGGGGTCCTGAACGTCCGGGGAACAGTCCAGCCTGGGGGCCTGAACCTCTGGGGGGAAGACGTCAGCCTGGGGGTCTAACTCGGGGGACGCGTCAGCCCATCGGGGGTCTGAAACCTCTGGGGGGGGACATGTACCTTGGGGGATCAACCCCTGGGGGGGAGGACAGTCAGCCCTGGGGGGTCTGAACCCTCTGGGGGGAGGACAGTCAGCCCTGGGGGGTCTGAACCCTCTGGGGGGGGACAGTCAGCCCTGGGGGGTCTGAATCCTCTGGCGGGGAGGACAGTCAGCCCTGGGGGGTCTGAACCCTCTGGGGGGGGACAGTCAGCCCTGGGGGGTCTGAACCCTCTGGGGGAAGGACAGTCAGCCCTGGGGGGTCTGAACCCTCTGGGGGGGAGGAGGACAGTCAGCCCTGGGGGGTCTGAACCCTCTGGGGGGGGACAGTCAGCCCTGGGGGGTCTGAACCCTGGAGGGGGGAGGACAGTCAGCCCTGGGCTACCACCTGCAGAGTGGGAGGTGCTCACTGGCTCTACTCTGGCACATGGTGACCAAGCTGGAGAGGAAGCTCAAGTTGCCCGTGACCATCTCCGGCCGCCCAGCCCAAGCGCAGGTGAGGTCCCAGCAAGGTGTGCATGCGGCGCTGGGGGTGTGGGGGCGCTCTGTGCGCGCTTGTGTGCCTGCGCGCATGGGTGCGCCCAGCTGCCCGCCAGGCCAGCCAGACCCAAAGCCTCGGAGCTGGGGACCCCGGGTGGCCTCCACGGGGCCATCCTCGCAGCAGCCAGGTAGCAGCAGGCAGGGAAAGGGTTCAGCAGCCCCCTCGCGGCCTCTGGCCTCTACTGGCTGCGCCCAGCCACTGCGCAATGGATTATTCCCCATCCCACCCCATGCATGGCGCAAAGGGAAGACGCCCCCCCACACCCCTCCCAGCAGCAGGGAAAGCGCCCCTCCCCCTCGCCAGGTGTGGGGGGCGTGGCCTCGCCTTCTAACACCGCAGGTACAGAGCAGCTGCTGCACCTGCCCCCAGGACACCGGGGGGCAGCCGGCCCGGCTCTCCGCAGTGTCTGCACCTCCCACCGCACCCCACCGCACCCCATCCCACCCGGATCTCAGCCTGCAGGTGGAAGAAACAAGATGGTCCCGCTCTCACCTGGTGGTGCCGAATTCCGCTCTCTCCCCTGGAAAGGAAAGGATACATGGGTATTTAATTGCTTTTTTTTTTTAGCCAGAAAATACTCATCTTTTTCCAAAAAAAATAAAACACGCCTGGTCTTAATTATTTACGAAATGTGAACATCACATGATGCCTAAGGTACTGTGTGTTGAAAACAACCGCATTTTATTAATCCTTTATTAAAAGCCTGCTCTGTGTAAGGGCTATGATGTTCGCACGCGTCACTCACACACACGTGTTCCGTGATCCTCTAGGGACAGCCTGCTGACCGCCTGCCGTCAGGAACGTCTGGGGCTCAGGTGAAAACCGCAGAGCGGTCTCGGCTCTCCCAAGTCAGACCTCTGAGATAAGAACATGGGAATCTGAGCTTTGACAACCAGCCCTCCTGTGCCTGCCAAAAACTTCAAGAACTCCTGCACTGGTTCCTGTCGACCAAGACGCAGGGAGCCCTGTCATGTGCCTGGCACTGAAGGGTGCGAGCTACCGTGTTTCCCTGAAACGAGACCTCCCCATAAAGCAAGCCCCAGCAGGATGTCTGAGCACGTGCGCCATAGAAGCCCCACCCCGAAAATCAGCCCTAGTGACGGGCGTGGCTGCGCAGCGTCTGCACAACCCGTGCGTGTCGTCGCGGAGCGGGAAAGAACACGAGCAGCCCTTCTCCTCCGCCCGTGACAGCTCTAGTGCTCGGCAGGAGAGATCGGGGCCGGTGGCTCTAAAGGAAACAGAGTCGCAAGACATTCAGGATGGGACTCGGGGTCTGGAGAGTGAGGATGATGTTCCAGAAGAAGACGATTTCACTCTATTTGAATCATTGTAGGTTGTTGTACTGTACTTAAAAAAAATGACACATCCCCTGAGAATGAGCCCTAGGGTATCTTCTGGAGGAAAAATAAATATAAGACCCTATTTTCCAGGAAATACGGTACGCCGAATCCTGTATGTACTCTGTTTTTTCAAACTGATAACCAGGATGGCTTCTAAGCGACAGATCTGCGGGGAGCACAGACAGCGTGGATCCTCTGGCCCAGGGGTCCTCACACTTTCTAAACAGGGGCCAGCTCACTGTCCCTCCGACCGCTGGAGAGCGCGGCGCACATTCCACACATGCGCACTGCGGGCCCGGGACGCGTGGGCTGCTAAGCAGGACAGGCAGCCGCGGCAAAGACACCCGGTGGGCCGGATGAACGTCCTCGGTGGGCCACATGTGGCCCCGTAGTTTGAGGATGCCTGGTCTGGACAAAGGAAGGAGGAGTCAGGTCCTGGCAAGGGTGGAACGAGACGCAGATTTCAACACGCTCCTCGGTGTGGCATGCAATTTAGTTGTTTCTGGAATTTTCTATCTTATACTTTCAGACTGCGGTTGACTACAGGTGACTGAAGCTGCCGAAAGCGAAACCACGAGTAAGGCAGGGACTACTGTACTTGAGGGAAACTAAGGCGCCAGACACACTTCGTTGCATAAAAAAAAAGGGGGGGCTGTATCTCTTCCACTAAAATATTCCATCAGCCCCATATTTCTCACCTGTTTTCAAAATCTCCAGGTCGCCCCTCCTCGTACAAAATAGCTCTCAGATGACATAAAAAGGCCATGGTGCAGGTGTGGCCCTACCCTACTTTTAAAAGAGAATTCTGCTGAACAGAAGCATGGAAATGCCCAGCTAGAGGGGACTCATCAGCGGACGCGCAGAACGGACCAGCTAGCACTCCGAGCTCCCTGCGGAGTCCTCCCACTCCCCCTCCCGGCGGGCCAGAGCTCTGCCGATGAGGTTGGTGCAGACTCTCCTCTTTTGTCCAATGCCCCTAAGCGCCGCCATGGATGTCTGTCCTGCAGGGACACACAAGGCGACTAGAGACGCGTCCCTGTGTCATCCTCCATGTTCTCAGCCATGCAGGCCCCTGTTATTCCGGGCAGCGAGGGCGTCTGCGCGCTCCCCAGAGGCGACACATCACCGCACAAAGGGAGCCGGGAGACCAGAGGGCGAGGCGTGGAGCCTGTGCGGGCTCCGCACCATCTCGCCCACATCTCACAAAGCTGAAACTGTCTCTTTTATTTTTTTATGTTTTTATTTTATTTTATTTTATTTTATTTTGAGACAGAGTCCCACTCTGTTGCCCAGGCTAGAGTGCCGTGGCGTCAGCCTAGCTCACAGCAACCTCAAACCCCTGGGCTCAAGCGATCCTCCTGCCTCAGCCTCCCGAGTAGCTGGGACTACAGGCATGCGCCACCATGCCTGGCTCATTTTTTCTATATATATATATATATATATATATATTAGTTTGGCCAATTAATTTCTTTCTATTTATGGTAGAGACGGGGTATCGCTCTTCCTCAGGCTGGTTTCGAACTCCTGACCTCAAGCAATCGGCCTGCCTCAGCCTCCCAGAGTGCTAGGATGACAGGCGTGAGCCATCACGCTGGCCCATCAATGAGATTTGACAAATGGGCACCCCCACGTGTATAACCACCACCGAAATCGGGACATAGAACATTTATTTCCAGCACCCATCCCCCGCCCCGAAGCTGCCCAGCCCTTACCAGCCAGAGCACAGAAAACGAATCCGTGGTGATAGAAACCAGATCCGTGGTTGTTTGGGGGGTGAGCACACCGGAGTTTCTGAGGGCGAATGAAATGCTCTGTACCCCGATTTGGGTCGTGGCCATGCACACAAAGGCCCTGGGGCAGGAATTAGCTTGGTGAGGTCTAAAGGGCAGAAATTTGTTCAGCACGGCTGGAGCACAGGTAGGGAGGGGTGACTGGTACCATGTTTCCCGGAAAATAAGGCCCTACCCATAAAACAAGCCCTAGCAGGATGTCTGAGCACGTGCGCCCTAGAAGCCCCACCCCGAAAATCAGCCCTAGTGACGGGCGTGGCTGCGCAGCGTCTGCACAACCCGTGCGTGTCGTCGCGGAGCGGGAAAGAACACGAGCAGCCCTTCTCATCCGCCCGTGACAGCTCTAGTGCTCGGCAGGAGAGATCGGGGCCGGTGGCTCTAAAGGAAACAGAGTCGCAAGACATTCAGGATGGGACTCGGGGTGTGGAGAGTGAGGATGATGTTCCAGAAGAAGACGACCTCACTGTATTTGAATCAATGGAGATGGTTGCACAGTACTTAAATAAGCGCTAGGGTGTGTTCTTGAGGAAAAATAAATACGAGACCCTGTCTGATTTTGGGGGAGACGCGGTAGGTGAGGTCAGGAACTCAGGCAGAGGACAGGTGACGTGACTTAGGACCTCATGTGCCATGGGAGTGGCTGGGACTTTATTCCAACGGCCGCCAGACGGGTGGTTTGAAGCCGGGTCCCAAAGCCCGTGAGACCCAGTGCCTCCTCACACATGCGGGTCTCCCTCTCTGGGCCTGGAAGCCCGGCCGGGCACTGCAGGATTGTTCCCAGCGAGCAGCGTCTGCTGCACAACCGCCCAGACGCCATTTCCCGCCCCACCACTCTGCCGGGCTCACCCCACCAGGCTAAGGCTGGCGGCTGCCCTCCGCTTTTCTGCAGCCACACGGGGACCCCCACCCCTCGCTGTCTGTCCCAACAGGATTGTCCTGGCCGGCTCGGTCCCAGTAGGGGGGCGGGAGAGGAGGGGTCCAGGACCACGATTCATTCTGCAGGGTCTCAAGCTCACACAGCCCGACGACTAAAGGTGCCACAAGAAAACCCCAGCAGGGCGCCCGGCCCCGGGCCGGCCTCCGTCCCCGGACTCACCTTCGCCCAGGGTCTGCTTGAGCAGGTCGTGCTTGGCCTGAAGCTTGGTGATGAGGTTGCTGCCGTTCACGTACTCTTTAAATTTCTGCAAGACAGGAGGCACAGGGAGTCACAGGTGGCGGGGCCAGGGACTGGCATCTCTGGTCTCCTCCTCTGCGCAGACCTCAGCCCTGCCCCGAGGCGGCCAAGCCCTTGAGGGCTCCAGACCTTGGGGGTCAAGGTTCGGGGACACCCCGAAAGCCCGGGAGGATGAGAGCTGTGAGGGGCCACTGGGACCAGACGCAAGGGGCTTCCTTGGCCGTCAAAGCCCAGCCGTGTTGCCGAGAGCAATGCAAAAGGAGCTGTCTCAGAGGCTGGGCAGCTGAGGCCGGGCAGCTGAGGCCGGACAGCTCCATCGGACCCGCCGGAGACAAGCCCGGAACAGTCTTTCTGCCACCCCCTCCGCTCTGAGGGAGGAAGAGCCATGCGGCCCCTGAGAAGCCGTGCTATTAAAATAACCCGGACTCGGCCGGGCGAGGTGGCTCACGCCTGTCATCCAGCACTTGGGAGGCCGAGGCAGGAGGATCGCTCGAGGTCACGAGTTTGACACCAGCCTGAGTAAGAGCGAGACCCCGTCTCTACTAAACATAGAAAGAAATTAATTGGCCAACTAATATATATAGAAAAAATAAGCCGGGCATGGTGGCGCATGCCTGTAGTCCCAGCTACTGGGGAGGCTGAGGCAGGAGGATCGCTTGAGCCCAGGAGTTGGAGGTTGCTGTGCTCTAGGCTGATGCCATGGCACGCTAGCCTAGGCAACAGAGTGAGGCTCTGTCTCAAAAATAAATAAATAAATAAATAAATAAATAAATAAATAAATAAATAAATAAAAGAATATGACTGTGCAACACATGAACAGGCACATGGTAGCTGGTGTACAGGTGTGAACACCGCCCCCTTCTGTGCTGCCGGACCAGCGCTGGGATCTCGCGGTGAAGAGCCATCCACACACAGAAGGGGCTGCTAGGTAGCTGAGGCTACTCGAAATGAAAGCTCACGAGGCAGGTTGAGTGGGTCACAGTTAGCCCGGAGAAACTAAAGCCCCGTGCCCTGCAAGCATGGGAAAGACGGCCATGTGGAATCAGCCTTGCTCTGGGTGGCCCCGAGAACAGGATGGAGATCAGAGGTAGATTTTTGAAGATTAACAAAGATAAAGGAAAACATTATCGCACCCAAAGGCAGCTGCAACCTAGACAAAAGGGCTGTTTGGGGAAGGAGGGAGCTGTTAATCCTAGGGCAACCAAGCAGAGCCTCATGACCTCTGATCGAATCCAGCGTCAGATGGAAGATTTAAAGTCCCTTACAAAACTAATATCCTATTTCTAATAGACACATGTTGAACTAAAGTCCCAATTCCCCTTCTCTTTGTCTCTCCCTGCTCCTGGCAGAATGGAAGGTAACTCACATGGGGCTGTATTTGAAGGGCTGCCAACTCAAGAGCAGTTGCATAGGCCGGGCACAGTGGCTCACGCCTCTAATCCTCGCTCTCTGGGAGGCCGAGGCGGGAGGATCACTCGAGGTCAGGAGTTCGAAACCAGCCTGAGCAAGAGCGAGACCCCGTCTGTACTAAAAATAGAAATTAATTGGCCAATTAAAAATATATAGAAAGAAAAAATTAGCCGGGCATGGTGGTGCATGCCCATAGTCCCAGCTACAGGAGGCTGAGGCAGGAGGATCGCTTGAGCCCAGGAGTTGGATGTTGCTGTGAGCGAGGCTGATGCCACGGCAGTCTAGCCCGGGCAACAGAGTGAGACTCTGTCTCAAAAAAGAAGAAAAAAACAATGAGAAAAGAGCATGTTCTTAGATTGCTGAGGGCATGGTTTCCATCCAAAACCCACACCCCAATTTAAGACGATCGACACCATAATCCACACTCGCAACTTCAAGGTTGTTCTCTGGGCTGCACGCCCGGCTGCTGTTAGCACTTTCCTCTCACCCAACTAAGTTGAGACTCTCTCTCTGTGGTGTTTCTCTACAGCAGGAAAATTGTCAGTGACTGTCACCCAAGACCAGCGGCAAGACCACCCGCTGGCAGCCTGCTCTCTGCCTCTCAGCGGCCGCGGGCTCGGCGCCCTGGGGCCACTCACCGTAAAGTAAAACACTTCCGTCTCCTGCTGGTTGGCTCTCCTCTTGGCGACCTTGACCTTGCTCATGTAGGTCTCGGACGCGGCTGACTTCACGGACTCCGTGGACCGGCTGTGCTGGAAGGCGTCGGACACATCGAAGTCCTCCACCGTCAGCATGTCCTGCAGGGTCTGCATGGTGGCGTCCAGGGTCTTCCTGACCTGGGGGGACATTGCGCCACGGAGATCCCACATCCCCACTCGGCCCTCGGCCCACCGAGTCCCGGCCCCAACTGTCGCCTCGCCTCCCACATAAAGTCTTCTGGTTTGTTTTGGTTTTTTTTGAGGCAGAGTCTCACTCTGTCGTCCAGGCTAGAGTGAGTGCCGTGGCATCAGCCTCGCTCACAGCAACCTCAATCTCCTGGCTCAAGCAATCCTCCTGCCTCAGCCTCCCGAGTAGCTGGGACTACAGGCATGCGCCACCATGCCCGGCTGATTTTTTTCTATATATTTTTAGGTGGCCGATTAATCTCTTTCTATTTATAGTAGAGGCGGGGTCTCGCTCTTGCTCAGGCTGGTTTTGAACTCCTGACCTTGAGCAATCCGCCCACCTCGGCCTCCCAAGTAGCTGGGACTGCAGGTGTGAGCCACCGCGCCGGGCTCATTATTTCTCTATATATTTTTACTTCACCAATTAATGTCTTTCTATTTATAGTAGAGGCGGGGTCTCGCTCTTGCTCAGGCTGGTCTTGAACTCCTGACCTTGAGCGATCCTCCCGCCTCGGCCTCCCAGAGTGCTGGGAAGACAGGGTGAGCCCCGCGCCCGCCGTATCTGTCTTCTCCCAGCAGACCCACCGTCCTCGAGAGAGGTGCCGTGCGCTGCACCCTCACCGCTACTCTCCGTCTAGAACGTCTGGCATATAACATATGCTCTGCAAACACCTGAATAAGTAGGAATTATTTGAATAATTTGAATAAATAATGCTTGAATAATTTGAATGAATGCGTGTCGAGCGAGCTGTGAATGAACGAATGTGACTCTCTAGCGGAGCCTGAGGGGAAGCTCGGGCTGGGAGCCGAGCCCAGGCACAGCCTCCCCAGCCCGGCGGCGGGCGTCTGCGTCGCTCTTTCTCCCGCCCTGGTTTCCGATTTCAGTGCCGGGCGGTAGGGTCCTCCACCGCGCCCTGCAGGCGTCCGGCGCCCGGCGTCCTCCTCGGCACGCCGGCCCACTCACCTCCTCGTTCTCGATCTTGAGCGTGGCCAGTCGGGACTGCAGCTGCTGGTGCCGCACGAGCAGCTCCGTCTGCACCGGCTGCTGGGCGCTCACCTGGCACACCTGCAGGACGACACCCGCCCGTCAGGCCCCTCTCCGCGCCGGGCAGGGGCTGGCACCGACAGCCCTTCTTTCTTTGTTTTGAGACAGAGTCTCACTCTGTTGCCCAGGCTAGAGTGAGCGCCTGGCGTCAGCCTCGCTCACAGCAACCTCCAACTCCTGGGCTCAAGCGATCCTCCTGCCTCAGCCTCCCGAGTAGCTGGGACCACAGGCATGCGCCACCATGCCCGGCTCATTTTTCTATTTATTTTCAGTTGGCCAATTCATTTCTTTTTATTTTTAGTAGACACGGGGTCTCGCTCTTGCTCAGGCTGTTCTTGGACTCCTGACCTCGAGCAATCCTCCCACCTCGGCCTCCCAGAGTACTGGGATTACAGGTGTGAGCCACCACGCCCGGCCTTTCCTAGGAGTTTTCTTTTTCGGGCTATGTGACCCATTTTTTTTTTGTTTTTGTTTTTGTTTTTGTTTTTGTTTTGAGTGTTCCATGGTGGGCCAGCAATTGCTAGATGGCCACCTCCGTGTACCTGGTACTGCACTGGGTTGCAGAAGAAATATTTTAGAACCTGATATCCCTTTCTGCAGCTCAGAAATGGGCTCAGAGTGGTTAAGCTACCTGCCCAAGGTCACACAGCTCACACGTGGCCATGGCAACCCAGTACCCAACGGGAACCAGGATCACCCTGCTCCACGAAGCCCGGCCTCTTGCCCTTGCGGGGCTCAGACTCTCAGCTGGGATCTTCTGCATCCGGGCAGCACCCGAGGGCTCACAGACAGCTTTCACGGGATCCCATGAAGCCAACCCGACTGGTCAATCTCAAGGCAGGAAGTTGTGGCAGGAGAGCAACCAGCCAATAAGAGAAGCCTTTGGGGCCGGGCGCGGTGGCTCACGCCTGTCATCCCAGCACTCTGGGGAGGCCGAGGTGGGAGGATCGCTCGAGGTCAGGAGTTCGAGACCAGCCTGAGCAGGAGCAAGACCCCGTCTCTACTGAAAATAGAAAGAAATTAATCGGCCAACTAAAAATATATAGAAAAAATTAGCTGAGCATGGTGGCGCATGCCTGTAGTCCCAGCTACTCGGGAGGCTGAGGCGGGAGGATCGCTTGAGTCCAGCAGTCGGAGGTTGCTGTGAGGGAGGCTGACGCCACGGCACTCACTCTAGCCTGGACAATCTCAAAAGAGAGAGAGAGAGAGAGAGAGAGAGAGAGAGAGAGAGAGAGAGAGAGAGAGAGAAGTGGATGGGAGGGAGGGTCAGCAGGACGCTCCGAGGCCCCATGGGGGCTGGAGATGGCAGGAGGCCGGAGAGATCCGCCTCTGCCTCCACCCGTCCATCTCGGACCCTCACTGCTCCGGGCCTCACCCCTACAATGACACAGCTGGGACCAGAAGGGACAGCAGGACTCTGTTGGCAGTGCCAGTGGTGCCAGGCCCTGAGCAGGCAACCAGACTTCACGGTTGCCTGGGGCAACAAGGAGGCCAGCATTTTCAGACCTGGGAGCCCAGCAAATGCCAGCTTCTCAGGTGCTCGCCCCGCCCCGCCCCGACCGGGTGCCACTCATGGCCCAGCTGAGCCCTGAGGGGACTCAGAGGCTGCCTGCGTCTGGCACAGGGTGGTCCAGGTGCCCCGGGCTCCCAGAGGGAGGAAGGACACAACAGCTCAGGGAGCCGCCGGCGACACCACCCTGGACACGCCTGGCCCTCCTCGGCTGCTCTCGAGGCCAAGCAGGGCCGGGCCTGGTCAGCGCTGGGAGGAGGCCGGCTCAGGGGACTGCACAGCGCTCTGTCAGCATGGCGCCCACCGCGTCTCCCAAATCAGACAGGCTCTTATATTCACTTTTCCTCAAGAAGACACCCTAGGGCTTATTTTCAATGGATGTGGTTTTTTTTATGAGACAGAGTCTCGCTTTGTTGCCCGGGCTAGAGTGAGTGCTGTGGTGTCAGCCTCGCTCACAGCAACCTCCAACTCCTGGGCTCAAGCGATCCTCCTGCCTCAGCCTCCCGAGTAGCTGGGACTACAGGCATGCGCCACCATGCCCGGCTAATTTTTTCTATATATATTTTTAGTTGGTCAATTAATTTCTTTCTATTTTTGGTAGAGACGGGGTCTCGTTCTTGCTCAGGCTGGTTTCAAACTCCTGACCTTGAGCAATCCACCCGCCTCAGCCTCCCAGAGTGCTAGGATTACAGGAGTGAGCCTCCGCACCCGGCCAGGATGTGTTATTTTTTTAAAGTATGGTGCAACAATCTACACTTATTCAAATAGAGTGAAGTCTTCTTCTGGAACATCACCCTCACTCTCCAAACCCCGAATCCCATCCTGAATGTCTTGCGACTCTGTTTCCTTTAGAGCCACCGGCCCCGATCTCTCCTGCCGAGCACTAGAGCTGTCACGGGGCGGAGGAGAAGGGCTGCTCGTGTTCTTTCCCGCTCCGCGACGACACGCACGGGTTGTGCAGACGCTGCGCAGCCACGCCCGGCACTAGGGCTGATTTTCGGGGCGGGGCTTCTATGGCGCACGTGCTTAGATATCCTGCTAGGGCCTGTTTTATGGGTGGGTCTTATTTTCAGGGAAACATGGCAGTCGTGCGGTATTGGGGCCAGTGAGTGGCAGGTGCCTTCTCGCCGCTTGTTTTTTTTCTCCAGAATAGAGCAGGATCGGCTCGGCAGTCCCACGGAAGGGAACTCACTGGTCTGGCTCCTGGAGAGCTCGTGGTATTCGGAGAAGGCAGCGCCTTTTGTGGGGCAGGTCCCAGCCCGAGCGCTGGAGGGTGGAGGGTGGGGTGTGGGGGTCCCCTCCCAGGACAGGTTGGGGTGCCCTCCCGATCTTCTGCACCTACCTGGGAGGGATTTTAAGGGAAGCCCTAAGGGCTCCTGCACTTTTGCAGGTGGGACCTGAGCCAGCAAGCCCCCCTCCCCGCCCCCGCCCTGCCTGCAGCCCGGGGCTGGCTTTCCGGAACATACCTGCGAACAGGGTGGGGGGGTGCGGCCCCTGGGAGACACCCACCTCGTCCCCCATGTGGGGCTGGAACTCGAACTTGAGCGGGGGGCAGAACACCTGGTTGCACATGTCCATGACGGTGTGCTTGTCGCTGCGGGAGTCCAGGCCGTCCACCGCGTTCTCGATGACGTCCAGCCCCTCGTGGCGAGACGTCTCCAGGTTGTACTCGGCCGACAGGTAGGTGCGGAAGGTGCGCGCCAGGCTGGCGTGGAAGCCCAAGTCGCAGCACTGGGGGGGGGGGGCGGCGACACACAGCAGGAGGGGGCGGGTGAGAGCGGGGCGGGCAGCCCGATCCTCGGGGCTGGGGCCCGCAAGCCCAGGACGGTTCTCCCGGATGCTCCGTGCCTCCACCCGCAAGCTCTCGCTCCAGGACTCAGCTTACCGCGTTTCCCGAATATAAGCCCCACCCACAAAACAAGCCCGGCAGGATGTCTGAGCACGTGCGCAACAGAAGCCCCACCCCGAAAATCAGCCCTAGTGCCGGGCGTGGCTGCGCAGCGTCTGCACAACCCGTGCGTGTCGTCGCGGAGCGGGAAAGGACAGGAGCAGCCCTTCTCCTCCACCCCGTGACAGCTCTAGTGCTCCACAGGAGAGATCGGGGCCGGTGGCTCTAAAGGAAACAGAGTCGCAAGACATTCAGGATGGGACTCGGGGTTTGGAGAGTGAGGATGATGTTCCAGAAGAAGACGACTTCACTCTATTTGAATCAGTGTAGATGGTTGTGCCGTACTTAAAAAAATAACACATGCCCTGAAAATAAGCCCTAGGGCGTCTTCTTGAGGAAAAATAAACATGAGACCCTGTCTGATTTTCAGGGAGACACAGTGGAGGTCACTTCCTCCAGGAAGCCTTCCGTGATATTCTCCCCCACTCAGAGTTCAAGGCAGGTGTCCCTCCTTCTCCGGGATCCTCTGTTCCTGTCGACTCCCTGGCACTGTGACCTTGGCACTTGCATTGCTCCCCTCGGCCTCAGCAAGCTAAGGTCCAGGGCACAGACCCCTGGGCCTCGCCCCCTGCTGCACCGCAAGCCCTAACCGCACGGGCGTGCAGTTGACATTCAGGAAATGAAGGGCTGAGAAGGGCCAACGGGAAACTCAAAATCTACTTGGGGCTGGGTGTTGCGGCTCACGCCTGTCATCCTAGCACTCTGGGAGGCTGAGGCAGGAGGATCGCTCTAGGTCAGGAGTTGGAGACCAGCCTGAGCAAGAGCGAGACCCCGTCTCTACTAAAAAATAGAAAGAAATTAACTTGCCAAACAACTAAAAATATATAGAAAAATTAGCCGGGCATGGTGGCGCATGCCTGTAGTCCCAGCTACTCGGGAGGCTGAGGCAGGAGGATCGCTTGAGCCCAGGAGTTGGAGGTTGCTGTGAGCGAGGCTGACGCCACGGCACTCACTCTAGCCTGGGCAACAGAGTGAGACTCTGTCTTTTCCAGCAGGTGCACTGGGAGAGGGACCCAGAGCTGAGCCCTGCTAAGCGTCGGGACCAGGGGTCCTCACACTTTTTAAATGGCGCCAGCTCACTGTCCCTCAGACCGTTGGAGAGCGCGGCGCACATTCCACACATGCGCACTGCGGGCCGGGACGCGTTGGCCGCTAAGCAGGACAGGCAGCGGCAGCAAAGACACCCGGCGGCCGGGTAAACGTCCTCGCGGGCGGCACGTGGCCCCCGGCGGCAGTTTGAGCCGCTGCAGGGTGTGAGCCCCCCCCCCCCGTTTGTGCAGGCAGGGGACATGGGAGAGGCAGTGGCAGCCGCAACGCCACTGCTCACAGTGTCCTGTCCCCACGCCCGGCGTGTCCCTGTGGCACATTCTGCACTGTGTGGAGACCCGGGTCCCGCTCCCCGTTTGCTTAAGCGGCCTGATGTCTACAAGCCACCTTCCACAGAGGGCTGCTGTGCGGAGTCAATTCTGTCCCGTTCCCCGTTTTCGAACTGCTGACCTCGAGCGATCCGCCAGCCTCGGCCTCCCAGAGTGCTAGGATGGCAGGCGTGAGCCGCCGCGCCCGGCCTCCCGTTCCCCGTTTTCCTTCTGTGAGCGGATGCCCATTTTTTCCTGCGTCCAGCTGGCTGGACCCTGGTGGCGCTGGACAGACTGAGTTCTGCATCGCCACTCCGGAACCCCACGGCACGACCTGCGCCATGCACCCCCGGGCCCCTCAAGCCCAGTAAAAGACCTGGTGTGTGTGTGAGGCTGGTGGCGGGCCCCCCTTCCCTCCCTAGATCAAAACAGAAAAGGTGCCGGGCGTGGTGGCTCACGCCTGTAATCTTAGCACTTTGGGAGGCCGAGGCGGGCGGATTGCTCAAGGTCAGGAGTTCGAAACCAGCCTGAGCAAGACCCCGTCTCTACCAAAAAATAGAAATAAATTAATTGACCAACTTAAAATATATATACAAAAAATTAGCCGGGCATGGTGGCGCATGCCTGTAGTCCCAGCCACTCGGGAGGCTGAGGCAGGAGGATCGCTTGAGCCCAGGAGTTGGAGGTTGCTGTGAGCGAGGCTGACGCCACGGCACTCACTCTAGCCTGGGCAACAGAGTGAGACTCTGTCTCAAAAAAAAAAATAAATAAAAATAAAAAACAGAAAAGGCTCGCGAGACCAGACCCGCCAAGGACAACTGCCGGCCCCGCTGAGAACCACCACACCCGGATGTCCACCCGGATAAGAACATCTTGGCTCCGGGATTCCGCAAATACCACCAGCCCCTCCTATTTCTCAACGACTACCCGAGGTCGCCCCCACTCTTCCCGCCAAAAGTCCCCAGCCCTGCCCAAAAAACAGTATAAAAGGCCCACACCCCCTTCAAACGAAATTGACTTCTGGGGCCCCCCCTTTCTTGGGACCCCAGAACCTCGTCCGGGAGCGATGAATAACGCCACGTGGCTTGGCCCCACTCTTTCTCTCTGTCTGTCTTTTCTTTTTGCCGCCACCGAAAACCTTATAGCGTGTTGGGGGACTCAGGACGGCGGCCTTGAATACAGGCTGGGCAGAGCCGGCTGCATGGGGGCCCCGGACGAAGGGAACCCCACCCACCCCCGCTCACAAAGTGGAAACTGTGAGCGGATGCCCATTTTTTCCAGGTCCCAAATGCTCGCTGCCGGCCCCCCGGCCCCCAGCCAGGCCCAAAAGACACCACCACCCCCACCACCCCCGCGTGCCACAAAGCATGCGGCCGGCGCGGCCCTCGGCGGCCAGACTCACGTCGATGAGGTCCGAGGCGTCGTGGATGTAGTACTTGCTGATGGCCGCGTTGGTGGCAGCCAGGTTCAGCAGGTAGTCGTTGCGGGCCTTCGTGCATTTCAGCTTGTTCTCGGAGTACTTGGCCTGCCTCTGGAAGCCGGAGGGGGACGGGGAGGGCGGGAGTGAGGGCCGCGGGGACGTGTGGGCCAGGCGTCTGGGGTCTTCCGCGCGTGGGACCTGCCCGCCACTCGAGCAAACGCCCAGGCCCGGGCAGCTCACCTTACGTCCGTGCAGGTGTGCCGCCCGTCACCGTGTGGTGAGCCTTTCCATGGCTCTGCCCCAGTGAGACCCCACCAGACACCCTCCCACGGCCTCCCACACTGTGCTGCCGGCTGTTGTGAACTGAAATAAAATCTTAAGGCTCACCCCCCACCCCAAACCAGCTGACTGAATGGACCCCCTCGTGGCCAAAGGAATATCCTAAAACTAAACTGCCTGCCAGGAGGAGGGAGGTCAGACACGCCTCATCATGCCCCTTCCCCCCCTTTTTTTCTTTTGAGACAGAGTCTCACTCTGTCGCCCAGGCTAGAGTGAGTGCCATGGCGTCAGCCTCGCTCACAACAACCTCCAACTCCTGGGCTCAATCCTGCTGCCTCAGCCTCCCGAGTAGTTGGGACTACAGGCATGAGCCACCACGCCCAGCTAATTTTTTTTCTATATATATGTTAGTTGGCCAATTAATTTCTTTGTATTTATAGTAGAGACGGGGTCTCGCTCTTGTTCAGGCTGGTTTCAAACTCCTGACCTTGAGTAATCCGCCCGCGCCCAGCTGCCCCCCTCCCCTCTTGGCAACATCCCTCGTAACCCATCAACAGGCCTAAGGGTGCGCAAGACAGTCCTGCAGTCCTCGATTGACACAGCAAATCTATGTCCGGTGGCTTCTCTCAGACAACAGCTCCTTACGTTAAAACATCCCAGGCCTTCAGATAGAGCTTCCTGTGCTCAGCCAATGACAAGCCAAAGAATCTTTAAACCCACCTGTCACCTGTAAGCCCCCACTTCGAGATGGCCCACCTTTTGGGGCCAAACCAATGTACGCCTCCCACGTATTGATTTGTGACCTTGCCTGTAGCCCCGTCTCCCTGAAAAGTATGGAACCGAACTGTGACCCAGCCACGGCGAGTCCACGTGCCCAAGGCCTCTTGGCAGTGGCTCCAGGTCACGGTCCTCAAATTTGGCTCAGAATAAACCTCTTTAAAATTATTTTGCAGAGTGTGGCTTCTTTTCGTTGACACTTGAAGCCCCCAGGACCTGGTCTCTGTGTACCTCCAGACCCCCCCTCGCCGGGTACCCTCCGCCCATCTTTTAAGAGGTCAAGTTCATGCCTGTCTCAAACCCCGCAGATTCCTGCCTCCCCCAGCCTGGCAGGCCAATCCCCAAATCGACACTCGGCTCCCCACCCAAGGTCTGGGGGCACACGGGCCTTTGGCCGCAAGCTTGTCTACAGGGCACCCCAAAACCTCCACTTCCCGCCTCCTTGCCCCTCCCCCGATGCCCAGATCTGCTTCCTCATAAGCACTTTCCACTGCCCGAAACTGTGTTGTTAGGTGTTTGTTTACCAGGAAGCAAATTCTGTGACGTCAGGCACTCGAGCTGCCTTGTCCCTGTTCAGTCTCACTCTGTTGCCCAGGCTAGAGTGAGTGCCGTGGCGTCAGCCTCGCTCACAGCAACCTCCAACTCCTGAGTTCCAGCGATCCTCCTGCCTCAGCCTCCTGAGTAGCTGGGACTACAGGCATGCGCCACCATGCCCGGCTAACTTTTTTTCTGTGTATTTTTAGTGGGCCAATTAATTTCTTTCTATTTTTAGTAGAGACGGGGTCTCGCTCTTGTTCAGGCTGGTCTTGAACTCCTGACCTCGAGCGAACCTCCTGCCTCGGCCTCCCAGAGTGCTAGGATTGCAGGCAGGAGCCACCGCGCCCGGCCTGGCCTGTGGTTTTTGCTGACTGAAGGACGGGGGCGGGGAGGGCTGGAGAGTGGCCGTCTGAGCGGTGGGGAGGGGGTGAGGCAGCCGCGGTCTCGGCCGGGAGCCGCCCTGCCTCCAGGCCTGCTGCTCCGGCCCCTGCGGCCTTGGCAGCGAGGAAGGGAAGGCGGGCTGAGGACTGCCCCCGCCCTTTAGACCGAGTCCCACCGTGAGTCCCAGCTGTTCAGCAGAGATCCCTGCACGCTCCGCCTTTTCGTTCTCTTCAGAGATCTCCTCCGACTTTTCTCCAAGGTCCTGGCAGTTAATGATCCTAAACCGGCCACGCACCCAGTCCGCGCGGAGCGTTAAAACACTCCTGGCCAATTTCCAGTGGGCCACTATGACCCCGAGACCATTCCCAGCCCTTCAGAGACTTATAAAAAGTTTATACCTGGAAGGATCTTAAGTGTCCTAGTTGCGCTCGTCTATTTTATAGGTGATGAAGTGGGAACTAGAGAAGCGGCCTGTCCAAGAGCCACTGGCTCATCAGTGCACAGCTCTGCACTAAACACTGGACTCCAGGCCGGGCACAGCGGCTCACGCCTGTCACCCAGCACTCTGGGAGGCCGAGGCGGGAGGATCGCTCGAGGTCAGGAGTTTGAAACCAGCCTGAGCAGGAGCGAGACCCCGTCTCCACTATAAATAGAAAAAATTAATTGGCCAACTAAAAATATATAGAAAAAATGAGCCGGGCATGGTGGCGCATGCCTGTAGTCCCAGCTACTCGGGAGGCTGAGGCAGGAGGATCGCTTGAGCCCAGAAGTTGGAGGCTGCTGTGGGCTAGGCTGACGCCACGGCACTCACTCTAGCCTGGGCAACAGAGTGAGACTCTGTATCAAGAAAAAAAAATTGGACTCCAAACCCCCAGCCAGCACTCTCTCTACCCCTCTGTGTTTCCACCTGTCTCATAGTCCTGTCATTCTCTTGGTTATTTTATTTCTATTTATTTTTACATAGAGTCATACAACCATCACCAGTACCTAAATTCAGAATATTTTCATATCCCCCCCCAAAAAACCATTCACCCATCATCAATCATTTCCCCATTCTCCTCTTCTTCAGCCTAGGAAACCAATGATATACTTTCTATCTCTATGCATTTGTCTGTTCTAGATATTTCACGTAAATGTCATCGTACAATACAAAGACACATAAATGGTCTTTTGTGACTGGCTGCTCTCACTTCGAGTACTGTTTTCACGCAGGGGTTAGGCACGTCGTGGCATGTGCCAGGACTTCGTTCCTTTTTTATGGCTGCATAATATTCCGTTGTGTGGCTACATCACATTTTATTCGCCCGTCTGTTCAGCAGATGAACATCTGAGTGGCTTCCACCTGTTGGCTGTTATGAATAACGCTACTGTGAACATTCGCATACAAGTTTTTGTCTGGACGTGTGTTTTAGATTTCTCTTTGGTAGATAGCCAGGAACGGAATTGTTGACTCACGTGGGAAGTAAGTCTGTGTCTAACATTTTAAGGAACTGCCAGATTGTTTTTATAAAAGTGACAGAACCATTTTACATCCCCTCCAGTGGTGTGAGAAGATTCCAATCTCTCCACCCCGTCGCTGATGCCTGCCACCGTCTGCCTGTTTTATTGCTAGCCATCCTAGCGGGTGGGAGCAACATTCCAACACGGGTTTGATCTCTGTTTCCTCATCGCTAATGACACAGACAATCGTTTCTTGTACTCATTGGCCACCTGCATACGTTTTTCGAAGAAATGTCTGTTCAAATTCTTTGTCCATTTTTTTTAAAAAAGTTGCCGGAATAGGGGCTTCGCGAACCTCAAGCCTGAGCTCTGGGCGGCCTGTGCCCGACGGGCCAGGGCTGACCCGGGAGGTCAGACTTATTTGGCATCCTGGCAGATTTGGACACCGAGGCCCAGAGAGGTGGTCGCCATGTGGCATTTTCAGAGCTCAGCCCCTCTCACCCCAAAGCGGGACTCCTCCCACCGTGCCGCTACTAGAGCGCCAAATCAGTGACTCTAAATCTCTTGTCTTAGGCCAGACAAGGTGGCTCACGCCTGTCATCCCAGCACTCTGGGAGGCCCGGGTGGGAGGATCGCTCGAGGTCAGGAGTTCGAGACCGGCCTGAGCAAGAGCGAGACCCTCCCCCCTCATCTCTACTAAAAATAGAAAGAAATTAATTGGACAACTAAAAATATATAGAAAAAAATTAGCCGGGCATGGTGGCGAATGCCTGTAGTCCCAGCTACTCGGGAGGCTGAGGCAGGAGGATCGCTTGAGCCCAGGAGTTGGAGGTTGCTGTGAGCCAGGCTGACGCCACGGCACTCACTCTAGCCTGGGCAACAGAGCGAGACTCTGAGACTCTGTCTCAAATAAATAAATAAATCTCTCGTCTTTGGCTTGGCAATGGCAGTTTCGGAATGAGCCCTTTGCCATTCCCTCGCTTTTTTTTTTTTTTTTAGGACCAAGAGGGTTTATTGAATTTATACCACATGACACATCCTTAATTGTTCCAAATTATGTATCTCAAAGATACAAAAATAACAAAACTTGTTACTATATAAATACACATTTAAGGATTTTTGTTCCTAGAAGTCTCTACAATGAAGAAAAAAAAAGGATTTTTGTAAACCTGCTTCCTTTTAGAGTATAAACAGAATTTTCAGAGTAATACATTTTATTATGAAACTCTGTCAGGTTCTTTATAAAAATAAATATCATTACTGCAGTCGAGGTAAAAAATAAAATCCTTTCCGAGAAGACCTAAATGCGGGTAGGCTAAACTCAGTCAAGTCTCAGAAACGGGTGTGCAGACTCGGGGGCGCACGCCCACAGGGCGGTGGGCAGGGAGAGAGGCCAGCTCTCGGTGAGGCCGAATCTGCCCGGCGCCGGCGGCGAGCCGTTCGCTCCTGTGGGGACATGGTGGGTCACCGCCCCACCCCTGCCCTCAGCCTCCAAACTGGCCTCCAGAGCCAGCCTCCCCACCCCTGCCCTCAGCCTCCAAACTGGCCTCCAGAGCCAGCCTCCCAGCCCCTGCCCTCAGCCTCCAAACTGGCCTCCAGAGCCAGCCTCCCAGCCCCTGCCCTCAGCCTCCAAACTGGCCTCCAGAGCCAGCCTCTGCCCGGCTAGTGCCCGGCGATTCCTGCACGGATGAGAGCCCGCCCGGCCACTCGCCTTCTCCTTCATCTTCTCGATCTTCTTCACGGAGCTGCGGCGCTGCGGCCGCTCCTCAAGCCGCAGCAGGTTCGCGCCCAGCTCGCCCGCCTTGCTGAACTGCTTCTCCTCCTGCCGCTCCGCCTCCTTCAGCTTGCTCTCCGCGCTCAGGCTCTCCGCGTGGTACATGTGGTAGGTCTTCATCACCTGGGCGCGGGACCCGCGTCAGCGGTGGCCGCACCCCTCCCCGCACCTGCTCCGCACCCCTCCCCGCACCCCTCCCCGACCTGCTCCCCGCACCCCTCCCCGCACCCCCTCCCCGACCTGCTCCCACACCCTCCCCCCCGCACCTGCTCCGGCACCCCTCCCGGCGCACCCTCCCCGCACCTCTCGGCGCACTCCGCACCCTTCCCCGCCCCTCCCGCGCGCCTGCTCCGCACCCTCCCCACAATCTCCCCCACCTCTCCCCCGCCACTCCGCACTCTCGCCGCACCTGGTCTCCCAGCACCCCTCCCCGCACCTCTCCCCGCACCCTCCCGCACCCCTCCCCGCTCTGCTCCGCACTGTCTGCCCCCCCCAGCCCAGGACACACTCTCAGTCCCACCTGCACTTATTTACGTTTTTTATTATTATTATTGTTTTTTTGAGACAGAGTCTCACTGTGTTGCCCAGGCTAGAGTGAGCGCCATGGCGTCAGGCCCAGCTCACAGCAACCCCGACTCTGGGCTCAAGCGATCCTCCTGCCTCAGCCTCCCGAGTAGCTGGGACTACAGGCATGCGCCACCATGCCCGGCTCATTTTTTCTATATATATTGGTTCCAGCTAATTTCTTTCTATTTATAGTAGACACGGGGTCTCACTCTTGCTCAGGCTGGTCTCAAACTCCTGACCTTGAGGGATCCATCTGCCTTGGCCTCCCAGAGTGCTAGGATGACAGGCGTGAGCCACCGAGCACCAGGCCTATGTGGTTATTTACCTTTTTTTTTTTTTTTTTTTTTTTGAGACAGAGTCTCACTCTGTTGCCCCGGCTAGAGTAAGTGCCATGGCGTCAGCCTCGCTCACAGCAACCTCAAACTCCTGGGCTGAAGCGATCCTCCTGCCTCAGTCTCCGGTAGCTGGGACACAGGCGATGCGCCACCATGCCCGGCTAATTTTTTTTCCTATATATTTTTAGCTGGCCAATTAATTTCTATTTTTTTAGTAGAGATGGGGTCTCGCTCTTGCTCAGTCTGGTCTCCAACTCCTGACCTTGAGCGATCCTCCCCTCTCGGCCTCCCAGAGTGCTAGGATGACAGGCGTGAGCCACCTCGCGCCAAGCCTATGTGCTTATTTACTTTTACACAAACTCTCTTGGGACCAGATATGATGATGATAAAGATAAAAATCATCATCATCAAGTCATTACTAATGCCCGGCATGGAAACTGAAAAGGGTACCCACGGCCCCAAGCAGGCGAGCTTGGCCCTTCCTCAGCTGTGCTCTCTAGTCCCCCAGCCAGCGACTCTCACGTCGGTCCCTCGCCCCCAGTGTCAACGGGAAGGCCCCTCCCCACGCACTCAGGGGACTTCCCCAGGGCCCATCCTTGTTACTGGCATGCACGTCACTTTCTCAGCTGTTTCCTGGAGTAAATGAGGCCTGGACATGGCTGCGTGCCCAGACAGACTGGTATCAGACAGCCCAGCAGACATTCTACGCTCTCTGGAATAAACTCATCCTTGCCTCTTAAAACAATCCCCATAAAGCAAATAACTCTTCAACTACTCCACTTTCATAAGCAAAATTGGACATGGTTATCACAAGGGAAATTTCTGAACCAGGAGAAATTCTACACGTTATCTGATCCGACAACCACCCAGTTTGACAAAGAGGGAAACTAAGGCCCAGATGGGGCAAAGTATCACTGCAGAGTCTCTGGAGTTTACATCCGTGTTTCCAGCGCTCTACAGTCAGGATGTAGAATTCCTGGCCGGGCGCAGTGGCTCACCCCTGTCATCCTAGCACTTTTGGGAGGCTGAGGTGGGAGGATCGCTTGAGGTCAGTTCGAGACCAGCCTGAGCAACACAGTGAGATCCCGTCTCTACTAAAAATAGAAGTTAGCCAGGCTCGGTGGCTCACGCCTGTCATCCCAGCACTCTGGGAGGCCAAGGCCGGAGGATTGCTCCAGGTCAGGAGTTCGAAACCAGCCTGAGCAAGAGCGAGTCCCCATCTCTACTATAAGTAGAAAGAAATTAATTGGCCAACTAAACATACATATATAAAAAAAAATTAGCCCGGCATGGTGGTGCGTGCCTGTAGTCCCAGCTACTCGGGAGGCTGAGGCAGGAGGATCGCTTGAGCCCAGGAGTTGGAGGTTGCTGTGAGCTAGGCTGATGCCATGGCACGCTAGCCCCGGCAACAAAAGTGAGACTCCGACTCAAAAAAAAATAATTAATAAAATAAAATAAAATAAAAATAGAAAGAAATTAGCCGGGCATGGTGGCGCATGCCTGTAGACCCAGCTACTCCGGAGGCTGAGGCAGGAGGATCGCTTGAGCTCTGATCATGCCACGCCATCTAGTGGCCACGCGGAGTCACTGCAGGCTCACTGATACCCACAGCAGCTGCCAAATTTCCGCCACCTGCGTGCAGTGGTTTTGGGACCAGGCCGCGGCTGAGAGTGGGGGCCCTGCGCCTACCCCCAGGGGCCCCGCCCTCTGGGTGCCTTCCTCTGCCCCACGTTCACAGACACCCTGCTTTCTCTGCCCACCCCAGTATTGCCGGTGCTGTTCCTTCTGGACCCCGCCTCTTTCTGGTTTCCAGGCTTCCCACCACGTCCACTTTTCCACTTCAGCCTCTGACTCCGTTTATCTCACCATGAATCTGTCGTCTGGGTCAGACAGTCGCGAAGAAGAGACAGCATTTTTTTTTTTTTTTTTTTTTGGAGACAGAGTCTCACTCTGTTGCCCTAGAGTGAGTGCCATGGTGTCAGCCTCGCTCACAGCAGCCTCCAACTCCTGGGCTCAAGCGATCCTCCTGCCTCAGCCTCCCAAGTAGCTGGGACCACAGGCATGTGCCACCATGCCCAGCTAATTTTTTCTATATATATTTTTAGTTGACCAATTAATTTCTTTCTATTTTTATTTATTTATTTTGAGACAGAGTCTCACTGTGTTGCCCAGGCTAGAGTGAGTGCCATGGTGTCAGCCTCGCTCACAGCAGCCTCCAACTCCTGGGCTCCAAAGTGAGACTCTGTCTCAGCCTCCTGAGTAGCTGGGACTACAGGCATGCGCCACCGTGCCCGGCTAATTTTTTGTATATATTTTTTTAGTTGACCAATTAATGTCTTTCTATTTTTTAGTAGAGACGGGGTCTCACTCTTGCTCAGGCTGGTTTGAACTCCTGACCTCGAGCGATCCTCCCGCCTCAGCCTCCCAGAGTGCTGGGATGACAGGCGTGAGCCACCGCGCCTGCCCGAGAGCATTTCTGTTTGCCGCCAGGTCTCCCTGTGCCATCAGCCATGCACTCGAGCAGCCACCCAAGCCGGCGTCCCGGACGGCTGCGTGGCTCCTCCCCCGCGGTTCCCTTTGCCTGTTTTCTCAAGTGCAGTTGGGTCTTGACTCCAAGCAGACACCGTGTGTCCCCCAAAACAAGACAGGGTCTTATTTATTTTTCCTCTAGAAGACACCCTAGGGCCTATTTTCAGGGGATGTGGGTTTTTTTTTTTAAGTACAGTACAACCATCTGCATTAATTCAAATAGAGTCAAGTCGTCTCCTGGAGCATCATCCTCACTCTCCAGACCCCGAGTCCCGTCTGAATGTCTTGCGACTCTGTTTCCTTTAGAGCCACCGGCCCCGATCTCTCCTGTGGAGCACTAGAGCTGTCACGGGCGGATGGGAAGGGCTGCTCGTGTTCTTTCCCGCTCCGCCTCCTCGTGCTGCAGAGGAGGCTGCTGAGGCCCCAGCGAGCTGCGCAGCTGCCCCAGGCCCCATCGTGGTGGAGGGCAGCCACGACTCGAGCCTGAGCCGCCCCCCCACAAAGCCCCCGTGCCGGCGCTGGGGGGGGCACACCCCGGCGACCTCCGCCTCCACCTTTGCTTTCCCAGGCCACGGGTCCCTCAGCTGCAGGTGGTCACCTGAACCTCTCCTGAACTCTCGCAGACTAGCCATGCCTGGGCCCCGGCCCCCAGCCGTGAAGCTGGGGCTGCGAGTCATCACGTCCCAACAGGGTGAGCCATTGTCATGGGCGCCAGACATGGGCAGCAGAGAGGCCCCGGGGCAGCCCCGACCTCTGCGTCCCCTCCCCCACCCCAGCCCGCAGCGCCCGCGGCAGACTCACGGTGTACAGCTCGTTGGTCACGTTCAGGAGCTCCTCGTGCATCTGCAGGCCGATCTCCTTGCTCTGCAAGACGGAAGGACAGGCGTCAGAGGGGAGGCGGTGTGCCGGTTGCATCTACCGTGCTTCCCCGAAAACAAGCCCTACCCGTAAAGCAAGCCCCGGCAGGATGTCTGAGCACGTGCGCCATAGAAGCCCCACCCCGAAAATCAGCCCTAGTGCCGGGCGTGGCTGCGCAGCGTCTGCACAACCCGTGCGTGTCGTCGCGGAGCGGGAAAGGACACGAGCAGCCCTTCTCCTCCGCCCCGTGACAGCTCTAGTGCTCGGCAGGAGAGATCGGGGCCGGTGGCTCTAAAGGAAATAGAGTCGCAAGACATTCAGGATGGGACTCGGGGTTTGGAGAGTGAGGATGATGTTCCAGGAGAAGGCGACTTCACTCTATTTGAATCAGTGTAGATGGTTGTACCGGACTCAAAAAAAATAACACGTCCCCGAGAACAGGCCCTGGGGCGTCTTCTTGGAGGAAATGAACTTGAGACCCGTGTGACTTCAGGGAGGCGCGGCCTGCCTGCCCTGGCAGCACCGATCCGTGCCTACGAACGGGCGGCGCCGCAGGCCCGGCGGGCAGAGTGACGCCCGAGACCCCGCCCGGCCGACAGCGCAGACGGGCAGGAGGGCCCTGCCTGGCCCGGCCTCGGCACTCGGACCCTCGCTCTCGCCCGCAGCCAGAAAATAGAAGCGGAACCTGGCGTTGCATCCAAGGCCGCTGGGGCTTCGGACCTCGGTTTCAAAGGACACAGAATGCAACGGGCATCTTGGAGGGGGACAGAAAAGCCGGCTCCAGACCAAGCCTGCGTCCCACACGGCCAGTGGCGGCCTTGCCCTGTCCTCTCGGCCAGGAGCCCCTCCTCCCCACCGGAGCCCCTCCTCCCCACCGGAGCCCCTCCTCCCCACCGGAGCCCCTCCTCCCCACCGGAGCCTCCTCCTCCCCACCGGAGCCTCCTCCTCCCCACCGGATTCTCCTCCTCCCCCGCACGGAGTCTCCTCTCCCCACCAGCCCCTCCTCCCCACGGAGGGTCTCCCTCCTCCGCACAGCCGGAGCCCTCTCCCTACCAGAGTCTCTCCTCCTCCCCACCGGGAGCCGTCTCCCGGCACCGTGATTCTTCATCCTCGCCCCGCACCGATTCTCCTCCTCCCACCGGAGTCTCCTTCCTTCTCCCCATGGCCGGGTTTCCTCCTCCCCACCGAGCCCCTCCTCCCCCAGGAGTCGTCCTCTCCCGCACCGGAGCCCTCGCGCTGCTCCCCACCGGAGCCCCTGCGCCTCCCCCATCGGATTTCTCCTGCCTCCCCACCGTGCGGAGTCTCCTCTCCCACGGTAGTCTCCTCCTCGCCACCGGAAGTTCTCCTCCTCCCCACCGGAGGCCCCTCTCCCCACCGGAGTCTCCTCCTCCCCCCCACCGGACCCCTCTCCACCGAGTCTCCTCCTTCCCCACCGGAGTTCTCCTCACTCCCACCGGAGTCTCCTCCTCTCCACCGGATGCCCTCCTCCCCACCGGAGTCTCCTCCCTCCCCACGTGATTCTCCTCCTCCGCCCCCGGGAGCCTCCGTCCTCCCCACCGGGATTCTCCTCCTCCCGCAGCGGAGTCTGGCCTGCTCCCCCATCCGGATTCTTCCTCCTCCCCGCCGGGTCTCCCTCCTCCCCACTCGGCAGCCTTCCTCTCCGCAACGGAGGCCCTCCTCCCCACCGGAGTCTGCCTCCTCTCCCACGGAGGCCCCTCCCTCGTCCACCGGAGCCCCTCCTCCCCACGGATTCTGCCTCTCCCCACCCGGATTCTTCCTCCTCCCCACCCGGAGCCCCTCTCCCCACCGGAGCCCATCCTCCCCACCGGATTCTCCTCTCGCCACCGGCCCTCCTCCCACCGGAGCTCTCCTCCCCCCCACCGGAGCCCGCCTCCCCCACCAGAGCCCCTCCTCCCCACCGGATTCTCCTCCTGCCCCCCACGGGAGCCTCCTCCTCGCCCAGCCGGACTGTTCCTCCTCCCCACCGGTAGGGCCCTCCTCCACCACCCTTGAGCCTCTCCCTCCCCATCCAGGATTCTCCTCGCCCCCACCGGAGGTGCCTCTCCTCCCCCCACCGGATTCTCCTCCTCCCCACGGAGCCCCTCCTTCCACACCCGAGCTCCTCGCCTCCCCACCGGATCTCCTCCCGAACCGGGTCTCCTCCTCGCCCAGCCGGAGTCTCCTTCCCTCCCCACGGAAGCCTCCTCCCCCCCCGAGCCTCCCTCCCCACCGGATTCTCTCCCCACCGAGATGTCTCTCCTCCCACCGGAGCCCTCGCTCCTCACTGGAGTCCTCTCCCCCACCGGAGGCCCCTCCTCCCCACGGAGTCTCCTCCTCCGCCCCACCGGAGCCCTCCTCCCCACCGAGCTCCCCTCCTCGCCCACCGGAGTTCCTCCTCCCCACGGAGCCTCCTCCTCCCCACCGGGAGCCTCCGGTCCCACCGGAGTCTTCCTTCCTCCCGCACCGGAGCTCCTCGCTCCCCACCGTAGCCTCTCCTCCCCACCGGAGCCCCTCCTCCGCCACCGGAGTCTCCTCTCCCCCACGGATAGCCCCTCCCTCGCCCACCGTAGCCTCTTCCTCCCCACGGAGCTCCTCCTCCCACCGGGAGTCTCCTCCTCCCCACCGGAGCCGTCCTCTCCCCACCGTGCGCCTCCTCCTCCCCCACCGGAGCCTCCTCCTTCCCCACCGGGCCCCTCCTTGTCCACCGGAGGTCTTCCTCCTCCCACCTGGGCCCCTCCTCGCACCGGGCCCCTCCTCGCCACCGGAGTCTCCTCCTTCCCACGGGAGCCTCCTCTCCCCTACCGAGCCCTCCTCCGCCCCACCGGGCAGTCTCCTCCTGCCCCACCGAGGCCTCCTCCCTCCCCACCGGAGCCTCCTCCCCACGCCGGAGTCTCCTCCTCCCCACCGGAGCCCTCCTCCCCACCGGAGCCCTCCTCCTGCCCCACCGGAGTCCTCCTCCCTCCCCACCGGAGCCCCTCTCCCACGGGAGCCTCCTCCTGCACTTCGGGCCGCTTACCCCACGGAGCCTCTCCTCGCCCCACCGGAGCCCCTCCTCGCCCACCGGAGATCTCCTCCTCCCACGGAGCCCCTACTCCCCATCCGGAGCCCTCCTGCTCCTCCCAACCCACGGAGCTCCTCGCCACCGAGTCTCCTCCTCCCCACCGGAGCCCCTCCTCCCCACCCGAGCCTCCTCCTCCCCACCGGATTCTCCTCCCCACCGGAGTCTCCTCCTCCCCACCGGAGTCTCCTCCTCCCCACCGGAGCCTCCTCCTCCCCACCGGAGCCTCCTCCCCACCGGATTCTCCTCCCCACCGGAGCCTCCTCCTCCCCACCGGAGCCCCTCCTCCCCACTGGAGTCCCCTCCTCCCCACCGGAGCCCCTCCTCCCCACCGGAGTCTCCTCCTCCCCACCGGAGCCCCTCCTCCCCACCGGAGCCTCCTCCTCCCCACCGGAGCCTCCTCCCCACCGGAGTCTCCTCCTCCCCACCGGAGTCCCCTCCGCAACCACCACGGCCTGAGAAGCAGATTCTCGCCACGGCCGGGGCGTGTCATTACATTCCGTGGGCATCGGAGCATGGAATAACGGGCGCCTACTGTCAAGGAGGCGGAAGAAAACAGAATGAGGCTCAAAAGGGAAAGGGCCTGGACGCCCGGCCTCAGAAACACGGGTGGGGCAAACAGACAGGGGTGCAGACTGAACCCCCTGCCGGCCCAGCAGGGTAGTGGATTCGGTGCTGGAGTCAAAAACCTGATTTTTTTTTTTTTTATTTGAGACAGAGTCTCGCTTTGTTGCCCGGGCTAGAGTGCCATGGCATCAGCCTCGCTCACAGCAACCTCAGACTCCTGGGCTCAAGTGATCCTCCTGCCTCAGCCTCCCGAGTAGCTGGGACTACAGGCATGCACCACCATGCCCGGCTAATTTTTTCTATCTGTGTTTTTTATTGTCCAATTCATTTCTTTCTATTATTTTTAGTAGAGACAGGGTCTCCCTCTTGCTCAGGCTGGTCTTGAACTCCTGACCACGAGTGATCCTCCCGCCTCGGCCTCCCAGAGTGCTAGGATGACAGGCGTGAGCCACCGCACCAGGCTGAAAACCTGATTTTGAGGCCAACTCTGCACTCACCAGATGTTGGCCTCAGTTTCCTCATCAGCAAAACAGGGACATTGGACGAGGAGCCATTCTCCGTGTTTGGGCCCCAAAGCAGGGCCCCTGGGAGTCTGTTAGAAAAGCAGCCGCTCAGGCCCTGCCTGGACCTGCTGACCGGAGGCTGTGAGACCGGGCCCTGCCGGCTGCATCTCACAAGCCTCCAGGTGACTCCGGTACGTGCTGGGGCTTAAGAGTCACTGTCAGAGCATGTTCAAAGACAGGTCCACAAACCCAGATATGCGCGGTGGCTCACGCCTGTCATCTTAGCACTCTGGGAGGCCGAGGCAGGAGGATAGCTTGAGCTCAGAAGTTCGAGACCAGCCTGAGCAAGAGCGAGACCCCCGTCTCTGCTAAAATAAAACAGAAAGAAATTAGCGGGACAACTAAAAACATGTAGAAAAATTAGCCGGGCATGGTGGCGCATGCCTGTAGTCCCAGCTACTCGGGAGGCTGAGGCAGGAGGATCGCTTGAGCCCAGGAGTCTGAGGCTGCTGTGAGCGAGGCTGACCCCACGGCACTCACTCTAGCCTGGGCAACAGAGTGAGGCTCTGTCTCAATAAAAAGAAAAGGGAAAGAAAAGGCGAATCATGAAGTCAGTCCTGGCCAGAAGACGGGCACAGGATGGAGGCCGGCCCAGGAGCCTCGCCCGCTGGCTCAGTGGCCGGGGTGGGGGGGACTTGGCAGGTCACCCAGGCCCCTGGAGCAGCGCAGCTCCGGCACGGGGAGGGGTCCATGCTTAGGGATCGCTGGCGAGCTGCCACTGAATGAGCACCTACTGAATACCAGGCCTGTGCCGCACACTCCCCTACCTCTACCCCCAGCAAAGCAGCCCCAAGGAACAGGCACTGTTACCGTCTCATTTCCCAGATGGGGAAACTGAGGCTCGGAGAGACCTGCCCGGGGTGGTCACCGAGAGGCGGTTCTGAGACACACCCCCAAAGCCCAGCCTCGCTGCCTCCCGCTGGTGGTGACGAGAGCCCCCAGGCCACCCGATCGGGGTCCTCCTTGCAGCTTCTCGGGGCTTTTCCGTCACCTTTCCAATGGGGTGAGCGAGGACGCCGCCAGCTCCCCAGCCTGACCAGGGCCAGCCTCCACGTCTGTTCCCAGGGCTGCGGGAACTACCGCGTTTGCCCGAAAATCAGACAGGGTCTGATATGCATTTTTCCTCAAGAAGACACCCTAGGGCTTCTTTTCAGGGCATGTGTTATTTTTTTTAAGTACAGTACAACTATCTACATTGATTCAAATAGAGTGAAGTCGCCTTATCCTGGAACATCCTCCTCACTCTCCAGACCCCGAGTCCCATCCTGAATGTCTTGCGACTCTGTTTCCTTTAGAGCCACCGGCCCCGATCTCTCCTGCCGAGCACTAGAGCTGTCACGGGCGGAGGAGAAGGGCTGCTCGTGTTCTTTCCCGCTCCGCGACGACACGCACGGGTTGTGCAGACGCTGCGCAGCCACGCCCGGCACTAGGGCTGATTTTCGGGGTGGGGCTTCTATAGCGCACGTGCTCAGACATCCTGCGGGGCCTTACTTTGGGGGAAAGGCAGAACTGTTCTGAAGAGCAGGCCTGGCACTGAGATTAGAGACAACCCAGGCGGCACAAAGGGCCCTGCGGGGCTAAGCCTCGGGCGGCTGGGCGTCTCTGGGCCGTGGGCAGGGAGGCAGCCTTTGCCGCGCGCAGGCGCAGGCGCAGGCGCAGGCGCAGGCGCAGGCGCAGGCGCAGGCGCAGGCGCAGGCGCAGGCGCAGGCGCAGGCGCAGGCGCAGGCGGCAGGAGCACAGCTGCACCGCGTCTTCATTACGTTCCGCCCTGTCAACCTCCTCGCAGCCCAGGCTGGTGTCAGCCCCAGTGAGAAATGCGAAGATTCATCTCGCCTGTCCCAGGGCTCAGCTCGGGAAAAGCCCATTCATTTCCTAAAGGCCTGAGGACCCTTTCTCTGCGAGTCACTCCCACCCAGGAAAAACAGGCGAGGGACAGCGGCAGATGGGGGCTGGGGACCCGACTGGCTTCAGTTTGGCTTTGCAAAGCACTGCGTAATATATATAAATATATATTATTTTTTCCTTTTTTTTTTTTTTTTTAAGGCTGGTCAAGTGGAGCAGTGGGAGTGGAGAAGGAACAAAGGAATCTGTAACTGGTTGTGATCAATTAGTTGTAAACACCACTGCACTCGGACCAACCTATTTTTTCCTTTTTTTTGCATGGTATTTACCTTCCTGATTGTGTTTGCTTACAAAAATATTAAACTGAGTCCACATTCATAAATGTGGCCCCGGGAGGAAACCAGAGGCCGTGCTGTGCTGGAGGAGGGAATTGGGGGGCCATCGTGATCCTGCTATCAAAGCAATCCTCCAAGTGGACAGTTCAAACACACACCACGGAGAGATGATTATATTTTAAATCGACTTGTCCCTTTTCCCTGTGCTTCCAGCAAGCCCAGGTCACTGAACCCCTAAAATTGGTTCTATCATGTTTCCCCGAAAATAAACCCTACCGGTAAAACAAGACCCAGCAGGATGTCTGAGCACGTGCGCAACAGAAGCCCCACCCCGAAAATCAGCCCTAGTGCCGGGCGTGGCTGCGCAGCGTCTGCACAACCCGTGCGTGTCGTCGCGGAGCGGGAAAGAACACGAGCAGCCCTTCTCCTCCCCCCGTGACAGCTCTAGTGCTCCACAGGAGAGATCGGGGCCGGTGGCTCTAAAGGAAACAGAGTCGCAAGACATTCAGGATGGGATTCGGGGTGTGGAGAGTGAGGATGATGTTCCAGAAGAAGACGACTTCACTATAGTTGAATAAATGTAGATCATTGTACTGTACTTTTAAAAAAATGACACATCCCCTGAAAATAAGCCCTAGGGTGTCTTCTTTAGGAAAAATAAATATAAGATCTTGTCTTATTTTCGGGGAGACACGGTAGATTCTTTTAGTAACAATGGTCCCTTACATTTGCATGATACTAGCTGCATTTCCCTGGGTGCAGCCCTCCACCTCATAAATGGGGATGACAGCCCTGTGAATCCCTCCAACTGCCCTGTGAGTGTTTATTTCCATCCTCGTTTCACAAACTAGGAAACTGAGACACAGAGAGCTGAATTAACAAGCCCAAAGATACACTGCTAATAAATGAGGAAACCAGGACTAATGAATCAGGAGTCCTGAATTTAAGAATGCTGGACTCTGCCGGGCGCGGTGGCTCAGGCCTGTGATCCTAGCACTCTGGGAGGGCCAAGGCGGGAGAATCGCTCGAGGTCAGGAGTTCGAAACCAGCCTGAGCAAGAGCGAGACCCCGTCTCTACTATAGATAGAAAGAAATTAATTTGGCCAACTAAAAATATATAGAAAAATTTAGCCGGGCATGGTGGCGCATGCCTGTAGTCCCAGCTACTCGGGAGGCTGAGGCAGGAGGATCGCTTGGGCCCAGGAATTTGAGGTTGCTGTGAGCTAGGATGACGCCACGACACTCTAGCCTGGGCAACAAAGTAAGACTCTGTCTCAAAAAAAAAGTAAATTAAGAGAAATAACCTGAAAGTGTTCAACATAGTTAAATAAATTAGGGCACATCTATATAATGAAATACCATATTATCATTCAAAAAGTTATATGATAGAAATATATTTATTGGCATAGGAAACTTACGTAAGAGAGCACTACACAATTTGTTAGGCAGCATAATCGGTTGGTAAAATCATAAATGCAATATGGTCTCATTTGGAAAATGTATGTGTACGCTAGAAAGTGAATAAACATAAGCACTCATAGAAAATGTATTTGCATGTGTATATATAAAGAAGAAGGCCGGGCGCTGTGGCTCACGCCTGTAATCCTAGCTCTTGGGAGGCCGAGGCGGGCGGATTGCTCAAGGTCAGGAGTTCAAAACCAGCCTGAGCAAGAGCGAGACCCCGTCTCTACTATAAATAGAAAGAAATTAATTGGCCAACTGATATATATATAAAAAATTAGCCGGGCATGGTGGCGCATGCCTGTAGTCCCAGCTACTTGGGAGGCTGAGGCAGAAGGATCGCTTGAGCCCAGGAGTTTGAGGTTGCTGTGAGCTAGGCTGACGCCACGGCACTCACTCTAGCCTGGGCAACAAAGTGAGACTCTGTCTCAAAAAAAAAAAAAGAAGTTCTTGGACATCAAAGTGATTGTCTCTGAGTGATAACATTTCAGGTGATTTTTTTTTAACTGAGTCTCAGTTATTTTTTTAATTGTCCAATTAATTTTTAATTGTCCAATTAAAAATATTTTTTAATTGTCCAATTAATTTCTTTCTCTTTTTAGTAGAGACGGGGTCTTGCTCTTGCTCAAGCTTGTTTCGAACTCCTGACCTTGAGGGATCCGCCCGCCTCGGCCCCCCAGAGTGTGGGATGACAGGCGGGACACCGCGCCAGGCAGGTGATTTCAATTTCGGTGTCTGTGCTCGCCTCCGCTGCTCCCGTTCCCTGCAGTGCTACTGTGCCTCTCACCTAGCCATGCAAAGGCTTGCCTTCCGTGGCGGCAGTTGCCCAAGTGGCCAAGGCCACACAATCTTTGAAAGGCGTATGCAGAATTTGAACTCAGGGCCCGGTGCCAAGTCCAGCCCTCGCCCCCCACCCCAACCCTCGACACGCTTGTCCTGGTCCCCGCCCCAGCCTGCTCTGCATGTGGCGGCCAGCCGGGGCAGAGACCTGGGACAGGTGGGGGCCGCCCCTCGCCCACCTTTTTGAAGAGCCTGATGACGTCCTCGCTGATCTGGGAGAGGCGCACGATGACATTGTTCGTGAAGATGTCGTTGAGGGTGGCATGGTCTCTGCTTTCCCGCCGCGTCTGGTGCAGAACCAGGTACCAGCAGTTCACGGGCGAGAGCAGGTACTGGTCCTTCCTGCGGGAGCGAGACGGCTCGGGTTGGCGCCGTGGAACCGGCACCCGCCTTAGCCCCACTTCCAGCCTGGCTTTTTTTTTTTTTAGACAGAGTCTCACTCTGTTGCCCGGGCTAGAGTACCATGGCATCAGCCTCGCTCACAGCAACCTCAAGCGATACTCCTGCCTCAGCCTCCCCTGAGTAGCTGGTACTACAGGCATGGGCCACCATGCCTGGCTAGTTTTTTTTTTTCTATATAGTTTTAATTGGCCAATTAATTTCTTTCCATTTTTAGTAGAGACGGGGTCTCGCTCTTGCTCAGGCTGGTTTCGAACTCCTGACCTTGAGCGATCCTCCCGCCTCGGCCTCCCAGTGCTGGGATGACAGGTGTGAGCCACCCCGCCCGGCCAGGCCGGTTTCATTTTTGTGCATTTCACAGCTGGGGGAACAGGCTACGATGAGGTCTTGGACTCTAGGTCCTGCGCTGCTCCACCGTCCCATCAGCCATGGCCCTTGCTCCACACACCCCTCCTTTCTGGGAAGAAGCTGCCTCCCCTGGGGCTAAGACATGCCACGCCTACTTTGTGTCTGAAATCCTGGCAGGATTTCTAGATCGACGCAATGCAAAGAACAAAAAGCAGACACTTCCTTCATCCCATCTCCCCCGCCTTCTGGAATCTTCTCCGGCTCTGTTGCCCAGGCTAGAGTGCCATGGCGTCAGCCTAGCTCACAGCAACCTCCAACTCCTGGGCTCAAGCGATCCTCCTGCCTCAGCCTCCCGAGTAGCTGGGACTACAGGCATGCGCCACCAGGCCCAGCTAATTTTTTCTCTATATATTAGTTGGCCAATTAATTCCTTTCTATTTATAGTAGAGACAGGGTCTCGCTCTTGTTCACGCTAGTTTCAAACTCCTGACCTCAAGCAATCTGCCCGCCTGGGCCTCCCAGAGTGCCAGGATGACAGGCGTGAGCCACCGCGCCTGGCCCCGCCTAGCACATTATCCGGCCCGCCGGGTGTCTTTGCCGCCGCTGCCTGTCCTGCTTAGCAGCCGACGCGTCCCGGGCCCATAGTGCGCACTCTCCAACGGTCTGAGGGACAGTGGACTGGCCCCCATTTACAAAGTTTGAGGACCCCTGCTCTAACCTATGGGACATCATGCCTTAGCCTGGCCCACCTTAGCCATGCTCAGAATGCTCTCGGGGCCTACAGCTGCACAAAATCGTCTGGCACAGACATCATTTTATAGAAGAAGTGTCGAACACCTCATGCAGCGCACCAAATGCCATACTGAAAGTGAAGAGCAGAGTGGCCGGACGGACGCTCGGAATGCGGCTCCCCTGACCGCAGACCCGCCCAGGCCACGGCAACGTCGGGCCGGACGCCAGACCATTGTGAAGTGGGAGACTGTCCGTGCCCTGCCAAGACCCCCCAGGGAAGGGTGTGTATGCTGTATTCTCCGACAGGAGGAAGGGAAATTAAGAAACAAAACCAAGGCAGGACGCAGTGGCTCACGCCTGTCATCCTGGCACTCCCGGAGGCCGAGGCGGGAGGTTTGCTCGAGCTCAGGAGTTGGAGACCAGCCTGAGCAAGAGCGAGACCCCGTCTCTACTAAAAACAGAAAGAAATTAATTGGCCAATTAAAAATATATAGGAAAAAAAACTAGCCGGGCATGGTGGCGCATGCCTGTAGTCCCAGATGCCACGGCACTCTAGCCCGGGCGACACAGTGAGACTCTGTCTCAACAACAACAAAAAACAGCAAGATCGAACGGATAACCCCATCCTGTCACAAGGAGCATCTGAGAGAGAGTCCTTTTCCCCAGACTCCACTCCCCAGTGAGGAAGGGGAAGCTGGCAAGGCAGGGAAGAGTCCCATCCTCGCCTGGAGGGGGGTGGCTGGCTCCTGGGTGTCCCCCAGGCCAGGCCGGCCTCATTCCACCTGTCCTGGGTGTGCGGGCACTGGCCGAGGTCCCGTTCCCAGGAAGCCCAGCCTCCCGGCCAGCGTGTTTGAGGACGGCAGCTCTCGGTCCTGCTGTGACGGTGGCCACCACCACACGGCCAGGTGGCGATGCCACAGGTGCAGCCCCCAGGGCCTCCCTGCCCCGCCCCCCACCTCTGGGGTCGGGAAGGCAGGGAGTGAGGTGGGACCACCTGACCCAGAGGACCTTTGCTTTCTGTCACCAAATGGCATAAAAAAAAAAAAAAAAGTCTGCGTCAGTGGCAGGAGGACTCTGGGAGGGGCGTTGGGTTTGGAGCGAGGACAGACCCGTCCGAGCAGAACGGAGGAAGATGAGAAATAAACGTTTTAAACAATCAAGCAGGTGGGGAGGAGAGGATGGGCAGGTCCGCACTCACTGGGTGCGGGGCACACTATCTGGACGATGGGCACATCTGTCACTTTGACTCAGACGGTACAGAATCAATGTGTGTAACCAAAACATTCATGCCCTGTAATATCCAGAAATCAGAAATAGTGATATAAATCCTATAACAAATATAAATACATGACTCTTCACCTAATAGCAATACACTTAATCACACTGAAATAAATTATTTAACTGGCAGCATCATCTTCTAAGGCTATTCTTATAAACCAATGTTTTAGAACTGTTCAAACATTGTGCTATCTTTGTGTAAATATAAATAATAAATATTTATATAATAATTTTATAATTATATATAACATTGCTATAAGTATATAAATATTTATAGCAAAAATAAATTTTAAAAAAAGACACGCTGCTGCGCGAGAAGCAGGTTTCTCCCTGGCTTGCAGCCCAGAGAAAGAGCCAGAACAGCGAAGCACACGCCAGCCAGCGGCCCCAGTGGCCGCCCTGTCAGGGCTTCGGACTCCCGCAGGGCTGCGATGGGACCCTGCCCGGAGGGGGCCCGCGCAGAGGCTGAGGCAGAAGGAAGGAGTTAGCGCCAAGGCGGTGCGGCCGGGGCCCAGGCAGTGGGACAAGGCGCCTCCCGGCCAGGTGTCCCAGTGCAGGCACCAGGCTCCTCTTCTTCCCTCCCGAGAACTCCGCCTCCCTCACCTGACGCGGCATCACCATGGCACCCCTGCCCAGCTCAAGTCACCTCCCCACTGGGCACGTCCATGCGCCCACGCTGAAGAGCGGTTCTCAAAGTGCAGCATCCGCACCCCCTTGGGAACTCTCCAGGCCACCCGACGACTCAGGTGGAGACCCCGGGGACCGGCCCAGCACCTGTGTTTTAAGAAGCCCTCCAAGGCCGGGCGCAGTGGCTCACGCCTGTCATCCTGGCACTCTGGGAGGCCGAGGCGGGAGGATCGCTTGAGGTCAGGAGTTCGAAACCAGCCTGAGCAAGAGCAAGACACCGTCTCTACTATAAATAGAAAGAAATTAATTGGCCAACTAAAAATATATATAGAAAAAATCAGCCAGGCATGGTGGCGCATGCCTGTAGTCCCGGCTACTTCGGAGGCTGAGGCAGGAGGATTGCTTGAGCCCAGGAGTGTGAGGTTGCTGTGAGCGAGGCTGACGCCACGGCACTCACTCTAGCCCAGGCGACAAAGCGAGACTCTATCTCAAAAGAAACAACAACAACAGCAAGGCAGAGGGGCGGGCGGTGGCGCAGGGTGGGGCTGGAGGGGTGTCTGGGGAGCACGGGGTGAGGCGTGCGCCCTCCCGCCCTCCGCCCCGATCGCGCTGGGCTGGCGGAGGAGCAGGAGGCCAGGTGAGGCCGCAAAGCCGGACGCCAGCCGTCAGGGCCCTCCAGCCTCTGCCCTGCCCTTCTCAGCCAGGGCACCCATCTGTCCCTTTCGAGAGCAGAGCCCGTTGCCCTGAGCCCCGGCGCTGCCCGCGGCCGCCGCCGCCGGGAGACCGCAGCGTCCAGGGCAGCCGGGCGGCCGCCCGAGCACCCTTCCTGTTCCCGGGCCTGCCTCCCGGCGCCGGCCCAGCGCCAGACGCTGCCGAGCCGACAAGTCACGCTAGAACTTCTGCGCGCATGCGTGTGTATGTCTCTCTCTATATATTTTTTATGGCCAGAAAATGGCCATGCACATTTCCGGGAAGTCACAGCTTCCCTTCCCTGGCTCGGGGAGCTGGAGCGAGCCTCCCAGACGGCAGCGTAGAGGAGCCCGGCTGGCTCTGCCGAGCGGGGGAGCCGGGAACACGAGATTAGCAGGGAGCCACCCCCTGCTTCTCGGCCGGCCCGGAAAACTCCGCCCAGCACTCAGAACCCCTGCCGGCCTGAGTCTGCCCGGGCCCTCGGGGAGAAGGCGGCCGTCCCTCCCCCCAGGCACAGGACAGGCACCTGCTCTGCAGAGCCCTGCCTCAGTGAGCACCGGGCCGGAGAACCACGGCCACCCAAGCTGTCCCCGAGCAGCACCTGGAACCCACGCGCTTGCCGCAGCATGGACCGCCCGTCTGCAGGCGGTCACCTCGTGCCTGCTCTTCACCAGGAGGTGGCGGGCGGAGTGACCCACCTCCCAGCCTCGAGGGGCTGGATGTCCAGCGCCGGCCGACACTTGTCACATGGACAAGCAGGAGACGGCGGTGGCCAGCCTGGAGCCCCGGGAGTCTGCGGCGGGGACCTCCCGAGGGGAAGGTGGCGGTGGCCAGGGGCCCAGGCTGACCGCAGCTGGGCCGTTTCTCCTCCAGGGGTGCCCCGGCGCCCTGCAGCACTGGGGATGCCCGCGCCTGCCTGTCCCTTCCTGCACCTCGAGTCTGTCCTGCCAGCCACCCGTCTCCGGTGCCCAGGCAGGGCGCAGGGCCAGCCCTCGGGAAATATTTGCTTGGAGAGGTGAAAAGGTGCTCCCGGAGCTGGGACCACAAGACGAGGAAGAGCGTTCTGGGCCCCCTGCGCGTGGGCACCTTCCAGAACTTTCTGGGAAGAGGTGGGCGTGGGCAGAGGGGGACGGGAGGAGGGGCAGAGACGAGGCCAGGCAGGTGGCACAGCCGGGGCCTGGAAGGAGAAGGTGAGCACGGAGCCGCCTGCTGGTTTTCCGGGGTTTGAGGGGCTCACCTCACAGAGACGGGTGTCACGCGGTGCATGTGGGATCAGGAACAGAGACGGCTGGGGAAACTGCAGAGAGAGGCCGGGCGTGGTGGCTCACGCCTGTCATCCCAGCACTCCGGGAGGCCAAGGCGGGAGGATCGCTCGAGCTCAGGAGTTCGAAACCAGCCTGAGCAAGAGCGAGACCCCGTCTCTACTAAAAATAGAAAGAAATTAATTGGCCAACTAAAAATATATAGAAAAAATTAGCCGAGCATGGTGGCGCATGTCTGTAGTCCTAGCTACTCGGGAGGCTGAGGCAGGAGGATCGCTTGAGCCCAGGAGTTGGAGGTTGCTGTGAGCTAGGCTGACGCCACAGCACTCACTCTAGCCCAGGTGACAGAGCGAGACTCTGTCTCAAAAAAATAAATAAAACAGTACAGAGAGAAAAAGGGTGCGCAGCTGTGGCACGGCCGCTCTTTAGGGCTGAGCCTCCTGTCTTAAAATCCCCCCCAGCGATGAAAGGAGGAAGGTGGGGAGTGGAGAGGGCAGAGGTGGGAGGGGCTTGCTTTCCAGAGGACCTGGGACGGCCCTCAGGCTGACCTTCGCTGGCCACGGGGTCTCTGCCATTCCTGCGTCCCACGCATTGAGCGTGTCTCTGTGGATTGTCGTTTTATTCTTAAATAAGTTTACCTACAAAGGATTTCCCTAATCTTAGTTAAAAAAAATAAAAAGGCTTCACTTTCCATAAACAGAAGGTAACTGAAAAGGAAGTTCAAAGGAAACGCAACAGGTGCGCAGCTTTAGGCGGGTGCTGGCTGGAGCCTGTCCTCTCTCCGTCTGTCGAAAGGCAGGCCGCAAAGCTGCCGGCAGCGCGCTGCTGGCCCCACACGGAGGCTTCCTCTCCCAGGCCGCCAGAAAGACCGAAAGAGAATCGACAAGATCATTCAATATTTATGGCTCAATGCGTCGTCAATAGTCTCTCTCTCGTTTTGGCTATCCATCATGTTGCAGAAACGTCCCCGCCCCCAAATACTGGCCTTTGTGTACATACCTCTGTGCACGGGGAGATCACTACCCTCCGAGACAGCCCTTTCATTGGTGGACAGCTCTGGCTGCTGGAAGGTTCTTTGTTTTTTGTTTTTGTTTTTGTTTTTGTTTTTTGAGACAGAGTCTCGCTCTGCTGCCCAGGCTAGAGTGAGTGCCGTGGCGTCAGCCTCGCTCACGGCAACCTCAATCTCCTGGGCTCAAGTGATCCTCCTGCTTCAGCCTCCCGAGTAGCTGGAACTACAGGCATGTGCCACCATGCCCGGCTAATTTTTTCTATGTATTTTTAGCTGGCCAATTAATTTCTTTCCATTTTTAGTAGAGACGGGGTCTTGCTCTTGCTCAAGCTGGTCTCGAACTCCTGACCTCAAGCGATCCTCCCTCCTTGGCCTCCCAGAGTGCTGGGATGACAGGCGTGAGCCGCCGCGCTCGGCCAAGCTGGAAGGCTCTTTAAGGTCGAGTCAAAGTCTGCCGCTCTGACAAAGCCAGCTTCGGCCCTCACTTCCCTCCTGCCGAGGCCACGCAGGGCGAGTCTCTTCTTACCACGTATTTAATGAAGAAAGTGTTTGCTGGCGTCTCAGCCTTGCCAGCGATTCATGCACGAAACTCGGAGGGAGCATCAGAGCGGGAGCCGAGCGACGGCCCCTGGCGTGGGGCGGACTGCAGTGGGGCGCAGACTCGTGCGTGCTGGCTCGCGCCCGGAAATCCGCCCGGAGCCCCGTGAGAGCGACGACACGCACCGGCCGTGGGAGCCGGGCCGCTGCCCGCGGTCGGCTCGCGCGGGCCAGAGGCTTCTCAGAGGAGGCCTGGCGCACGCACGCAGGGTGGCCGTGGTGCAGGCAGGCGGGCGGCTCTCGGGACTCCCCTCCCCAGCCCAGAAAGGCCGGGGCTGGACCGCGCCCAAGGCAGCTGCACCGAGGCCACGGTGACAGCCACGCGTGACGTGCCGGCCCCATCCGAGGGCCTTCTCCACCCCCACCCCGTTCTGGGCAGACCTTTTCGTTGGAGAATCCATTGCCCGTTTATTTGCACGCTTGATTTATGTGCTACAAAAAAAAAAAAAAAGCTGCTCTTTTTAGGACTCGTCTAGAAGGCTGAGCCTAAATGGCAGCATCTCTGTAGAGCAAGGCCGAGTCTGTGCAGAGACTCCGTGGTGTTTTATCCCCAAGAAGGAGTGGTGTTTCCTGCGTGTGAAGTTAGCTGCTCACTGGCAGAGATCCTTCTCCTCCGACTGCTCCGTGAAGCTGAAGGACGAGCCAAGCCTCCCTCGCACACGGCGCGTTTGCACAGAACGTCTCACACAAGGCACATTTGCACAGAACGTCTCACACAAGGCACATTTGCACAGAACGTCTCACACAAGGCACATTTGCACAGAACGTCTCACACAAGGTGCATTTGCACAGAACGTCTCACACAAGGTGCATTTGCACAGAACGTCTCATACACAGTGCATTTGCACAGAACATGTTGCACACAGCACATTTGCATGGAACATTTCATACAAGGCACATTTGCACGGAACATCTCACAAGTGGCGAATTTGCATGGAACATCTCGCACACGGCACATTTACACAGAACATCTCACACATGGCGAATTTGCATGGAACATC